TGTTATCTTAGATCTATTCGTATCTAGCTGCTATACGTATTGCGTAAAACGCATCGCGTAGGTTAATCTTCGTATACTAGTCTAATCTAGTTAATCGGTCTTATATTTCTTCGATATTCGGTAGTAGGTACCGGTTCTTAATTGTAATGTCGTTAAGTCGTCTAAAATCGACTACTAGCCGTCCTTCGTCTAATCCGGCTTTCGGAACGAACATTACTAGTAAGGCTACCGAGGATGTCGACTTCCGTATCTAGCCTTTTTCTAATTTCTCTTTTAGCTACTTGTCTAGGGTTTTAAGCTCTTTCTTAGACATTGCGTATAAAGGTCCCTATAGAGGCTCTTTCCTAGGCTATAAGTGTATCTTATAATCCTATAGTTAGTGTTTAGGTAAGGCTGCCTTGCCTCTCTCCTCTTTAAAGAGTCGCTTCTACTTACTATACTCTTTAGGAATATCTAGGTCCGAGATTCTAGTTTTATTCTTCGATAGCGTATAACTTCTATCCTTCCCGTAATTATTATTATAACCCTCCTAACCTAACGGTAGTGTCGATCCGGGTTGAATACGGTTCTCCGTAATTCCTATCGACGTAAACGTCTTACGAGTCGCTCTGCGTTTGTTAATCTTATCTGCCTGCGAACGCTGCCGCTATATAGGTTGAATGCCGATTATATAGTCGCATTCCTTAAATATAAGTACTCCTCTTCTCTAGTCTACGACTAGGTTATACTTTCTTAACTAAGGTATACCTAATATAATGTTATAACTAGCTATATTAGTAATATCTAAGACAATCTCCTCGTAGTGCTATTAGATAGCTAGTAGTAACGGTATCGTTTCTCGTTCTATGCTAGGTAGCGGTGACCTATCTGCTGCTGTAAGTTTATACGCTCCTTCTCTTCTGCTTCGGGTTACGATCCCTCGGCTTTTAACGAATAATTCGGAGGCAAAGTTCCCGCTCGCTCCGGAATCTATTAATATACTCGTCGGGTGCCCGTTAACGATAACTTTTATACGGAAGACTACTATTAATGCTTAAGCGCTTTCGGTATTAAGGAACTCTCTTAGAACGCTCTAATCTAGAGAGTTAGTCCGTTTCCCGACTAATTAGTAGCTTAACGTTGTTCTAACTAGCTACGGATCCGTAGTCCTACCGTTCGTGCTTCTTCGGTATATAATTTTTCCTCGAGGGTATCGTTATATATATCCCGTCCCTACGCTACTATAGCCTTTCGGTATTGCTAATTTAATCGCTAGACCGTCTAACGTATATCTTAAGTAATAATCGTCCTTTCGTCGGGTAGGACGTATCCGTAGGGCGTAATTATACTTCCTATCGGTACTCGCTCCGTAATAAAGTTATAGTACGTATAGTTTGTAGGTATCCGGGGGTAATTCTAGAATTTTGCCCGTAAGCTTATCTAGAAATAATTAAATTAGATAGGATCGACCTTCCGTTATCCGTTAACCTTTAGAAACATTTCCTCGTATTTGCGTACTAGATATAAGGCGATTGTTCGCGCTGCTATAGGTATGTCTATTATAAACGTAAGGATCGTATCGTCGTTAATCCCGAATTCGTCTTTACTTTCCCTACCCGTAGTTTCTTCCTCGGTATCTAGACTTCCTTCTAAATCTTCTTACTATTCCTCCTCTTACTAAGGGGACTCCGGTACTTCTAGGATAGCTCCTAACTCCTCCCCGAGAGGGAATAAAGCTTCTAGATCTCGGTTTTCTTTATCGTCGGCATCTAAGCAAGATTTATTAATCGTTTCTTCTTCTAACTAGGATTTCGTATCTTCTCGTACGAGTCGCCTAATCTAAGGGAAGAATCCTGCTTCTATTTTAGTAGAATAATAAATTCGGTACTAGTCGTCGTAGTAGAATCTCTAGCAAAGGGTTCTATATACAGGTTCTTATCGTCGTACTATTATATAGATTTGTCGTAGCTCTTTCTTTACGACCTCTTCGTAGGTCCTCGGCGCGTTATTAATAGAGTATAGCTCTACTATTATTCGGTAGCCTTCTCTAGCCGAGTCCTTTCGTTGCATTATATTAAACTATTCGCGTCGCACTATATTCTTACCGCGGCAGTTCCGTACTATATAGCCTTCCTTGCTATACGTATAGTAAGTCAATCTTCCTACTTTCTTAGGCGAACTCTTACCTTTTCTTCCTTTAAATACTCGACCCTTCTAGATAGCGTCTAGCTCTATTAATTGCGTACTATAGTAGTTGTTCCTCTTTAGTTTATCGCAGGTACTATAGTTTCGTCTATTATCGTATCTAGGAGTATAGCTAGCTTTTCTAGAAGTCTTGGAATCGTAGCGTCGTTCTAAAGCTCGTTCGTAGAGCCTATCGTCGAGATCGATCGTAACCTTAACTAATATTCCTATATTATCTATTTTTCTACCGTCGCGTATAAGCTCGTCTTTAACATTATCCTTAAGACCTCGCCGATATATTGTTATAAGAGCTTCGTCGTCCTAATCCGTAAGTTAGGCGTATTCCTAAAATTTAGCGGCGTAATCGGTATATAACCCCTTCTAAGTTAAGTGTTAGATAACCCTAACTGCGGTAGTAACCTCGTTAGAAGATCTAAAGACCTTCTTTATCGTACGCTTGAGATTTTCGTAGCTTGCGAAGATTCTATCCGAATTGTCGGTCCCGTTGCTATCTAGATAGGTCCTAAGAAATAGTTTAACCTAATACTAAGCCCTGCTTCGTATAAACGTCGTTGCGAAGACTAGCTTTAAGTTGTCTTAAACCTAGTTAAATATAAAATACATATCTATCTAGCTAACCTAGGTATCGAACTTATCTCGGTCGCCGTAATAAAAGTCTAGCTTTCCGATCTTAAGGGAATCGTTTCCGGTATAGGTTCCTAGTATACTGCTGATACTAGAGGTAGTACGTCGAGTACTGCCTATCTCGCTAGGGGCGGGAGTTCCCCTTTCGACTTGTAATAAGGCACTTATCCTAAAGGCGTTTAAAGTGTTATAGTTACTCGCGATAGATCGTTAGGTAACTTCTTATTACGTACAAGCCGAGGCTTCTTTAGAGAGGCTAATATAAGCGGGAGGTAGAGACAGAATAATTAGTATAAAGGTAATTCTAATTAGTAAGTAGGTAATATAAGTTAAACGCCTCGAGCTATAAGGGCATTCCGGCGTTCCTAAATACAAAGGAGATATCTTGTCTATAGTCGTAAGCGACGTAAGCGACGCTATCGCTCTCGACCGCTCTTATCGCTCCTAGTAAGATAGAGCGATAGCTTAGCCTACTAGTCTTAGCGTCGCTCTAAGATTATATAAGGACTCTAACTAATCAGATCCGTAACATCGGATAGGAATCGGATAGGATTTAGATAGGATTCGGATAGAATTTTAGAAATAGTTTAGCTAAATACTAAAATAACTAATTAGCTAGTAGATTAGCTATGTTTAAAAATTATATTAGTTAATTACTAAGACTTTCTCTAACTAGACTTAGAGACTATTAACTATTTAGATAATAAAAAATAATTATAGTAGCTAATACGAATAGAATATAAAGAAAACAGAATAGAAAGAATTTAGAAAGGATTTATATAGAATTTTAGAAAAACTTAGCTAAGTACTAAATGAAATAACTAAATAGCTTACCTATATAGAAAATATTATTATATTAAAATAATAAGACTTAGTTTAATTAGAAGAAAAATCTACTTTAATAATAGCACTAATTCTAGTAGCGAGTTTAATTAGAATATAAGTAGGATATAGATAGTACTAAAATTATAAATATACTCCTATAATAAACGAATATAGATTACTAATAATATAGCCCTATATACTAGATATATACCTATATAAAAACACTACTAGATATTATTATACCTAGAATTAGATCTACTACTTAGTTCTACCTAGAACTACTCTAGTAGTATCTAGTTAGAAGTAAAGCTAGGACTATATTTGCCTTCTAGACCTATTTAGTTTCTATATAATTTCTAATTAAATTGTACTAGAATTCTTTAAGAGTCTTATTAAAGTAATTTATTTACTTAGTTATAGCTTATAAAATTATAGCGCTAGGCCTTAACTTATATATACTTCTACTTTTATACTTACTAGGCGTATCTAGTTTTAGATTTATAAGTTTTTTAGTTATTAAAGTTATCTAAAGCTATAGAAATCTACTTTATCTTTTATTCCTTTTCTATTCCTTTCCTATTCCTTTCTTATTTCTTTCCTATTCCTTTCCTATTTCTTTTCGATTCCTTTTCGATTCCTATTCGATTCCTATTCGATTCCTATTCGATTCCTATTCGATTCCTATTCGATTCCTAGTCGATTCCTAGTCGATTCCTAGTCGATTCCTAGTCGATTCCGATTAACTTTCGGCAAGTAGGGCTAACTTAAGCCGAGGCTACGCACGGTCCACCGTACGGACTACTACGGCTCTATCCGATTGGTCAATTCGGTGGTCAGGTCGGTGATTTCGGTGGTCAGGATTTCTGAGTGCCCGCAGCCCAGGATATGAGGTGGTGACAAGGATTAATGAGAATATCAATCAAGGTAAAGGGATATCGAGATAGGGAAATAAGAGAACTCAAAGTGTATCGAGACCGCGCAAAACATCATATTTCATTCACTGCAATTCATCATGCAGCCTCGTCATGCATCAGACACAAAGCCGCGTGCTTCCCATGCTTCCCTTGTTGATGCAAAACGCCGATGTATGCAACTATGCTTCTTCCTATGCATGTGCCTCTGCCCAATGGGAGACTTTCCACTTGCGAACGACACATGACCTCCACTAAGCATATTCTCCACCCAGCGCGAGAACACGTTCGCTGCCGTCACCGCTGAGCTCGCTCGTCTTCCTATCTCCAAAGGCAACCTCGGAAGCTTCTTTCACGCGGAGACGGAATGTCGTTCGGGTGAAGTCCACGAAGCTTCCAAGACGCACGATCACGAGTGGAAGTTTCTGTGACTTGTTCACGGACCCGATTCGTAGACTAATCGTCGTCACTGTCCTCGTCATCTTCGTCCAGTGCTTCCATGGCTTCCTTGATGAAAGGTGCTGCCTATACGAATGCGTCAGCAATGTGTTCTATGCGGAGCATTTCTCCAAACTTACCTTGGCGTCTAGATTGAGGGCAGTTGTGAATGCCCTCAGTGCCGCAGCACGATCCTGGAGGCCCTTGTGGCACTTGCCAAGTAAGAACCACACATTTGCCTCATCTGGTGCCTGATCTCGGAGAGTCTGTAACTCGTCCAACGCCTCGTCATAGTACTTCATATGCATCAACACACGCGCCTTCTTGAATCGCGCCAATGCCTGGCCGGGTGCAAGCTCCAATGCCTTGGTGTAATTGGCGAGTGCACCCTTCTTATTCCGCAACCGCTCCAGAACGACTCCAATGCACACGAGCAGTGTCGGATTCGAAGGGTTGATGGACGCCGCGATGCGATAGTGCCGCTCAGCCTCTTCCAACTTGCCCATCTGCTGAAAGCATTTGCCAAGCCCGAACCAGCCGTTGTACAACCTGCGATCGGCTGCCACGGCTTGTCTAAAGCAGGAAAGCGCGGCGTCGAAGGCTTCGTTTGCAATATATTCATGGCCCATCAGGGTCCAGGCGTATGCAAACTTGTCGTCCAGCTGAGTTGCACGTTTGAAAGCAGAAATAGCTTGATCGTGTTCGCGCGACAGAGAGAATGCATTTCCTACCGCCACCCATGTTTGCGGTGCGTCGAAATGGTTGTCGCGGAGAATGCGACACAAGAAAGCCAGAGTAGACTCCTTCTTCAGATGCCACAGCACCGTCGAGTAGATCTCCATGTCCTCAATTCGCGAAGGCTGCATCTTGATCAGGCGGTCAAAGCAATCTTCGGCTTGCCGATACTCAGCCTGCTCATAGTACACCTTGCCTAATTGAGCAAGAACCCATGGCGTCTCGCGCTGTGCTGTTGGCAATGTTCTGAAATGCGTAATGGCATCCTGCAAATCAAATCTGGATGCCGCATTTGCTCCTAGCGCCAGCTGTCGGAAATTGTCGAGAAGCGAGGACATGGCTTGCTTCTCGGCTAGAAGTTCAGCTTCTGATGGTCCAGTCGGTGGTGGCAGCTGCACGGCGGCGGCAGTGACCCCGGGTACGGTAGGAGCGACAGTACTTCGATCAGTGTTGCGACTAGCCGCGCGCCGCTCCTTTTCCTTTTCCTTTTCCTTTTCCTTCTCGTCAGGAGGCATCATCTTGCGGTTACCACTGACCACGCGTCCGACGATTCCAGTCCGACCTTTGGTGCCTGTCGCCGGTTTTGCCGTACGTGCCGTCCTATCAGCACGGGCAGCGGCTGAGGCAGCTGTCGAACTCACGGCTGAGCGAGTCGTCCGTGAGGAGGTCTCTTGCGTGAAAAGGCGATTACTTCTGCGAGGCTGTGACAGCGAATCGGCGGCGGTCTGAGGAGCTGCCCCTGAAATCGTACGCTTCTGCCCACCGACGCTTGGCTTTCGAGGAGGTGCTTGCGATAGATCTTCTGCTGGCTCGACAGAACCTGTCTGGCCTCTCAAAGGCGGGAACCGCGAACGGTCCGACGTCTCGAACTGCTGTCCTGCCCGCGGTCTTCGCGAGGGTGCCGCTGGTGGATCCATGAAAACATCGCTCTCGTCCATATTGACATCATCAGCCATGACGACATTATCGTTGATGGGTGTATCATTCCAATCGGAGATTGATTTCGAAGTCGACTTTCCCTTGACCCGATTCTGCCACTCTTCAGAGTCTCCTCGTGAGGAAGTGAAGGGGTCGTCCATGGCAGACAAATTATCTCTCGCAAGAGATGAATGTGCCACTGGTGGGTGTCTCGAATCTTCATCCACGTAGACGTCGCTCGCGCTCGAGCTCTCGACAGTACCTGGCATGCCATGTGTGGGTTTGAACATATTCTCAAGCTTCAGATCTGCGCCGATTTTGCAGAGCCCCTCAAAAGAATCCCAGATGAAAGGATTGCACTTGTGCGACTCAATATAGCAATCCCCTGCTTTTCGCAAATCTCCATGCGCGCGAAATAATCTCGCCAATAGCGCCAGAACAGCGGAAGCATCTGGAAGATGCCGACGAGATGTCTCCGAGTGCTTGTTCCAGTCGTTCTTGTTCAGCCAAGCATGCTTGGCCTTCTCCAAAGCAGTCACGCCCTCCATGTGCCGGCCTAGTTGAAGACAGGACTGCGCAAAAATATATGCGCATCCCAGATGTCGACCATTTGCGCCATACTTCAGACTGAAGTCGTAGGCAGCCTTGAAGCGCTGGGAGCGGAAGTATGTAAGGGCGAGCAAGTGTGAAGTGTCGGGGTTTCTGGGCTCGAGAGCATGCAGTCGTCCGGCAAGAAAGTTCGCATTGTCGAGCATCTCATTGTCCAAGTGGTAGTATATCAGCTGCTTCAGCTGTGAAGCGGCAATGCCGGTGGTGGGAGACATGGTGGAAATGGTGGTTCATGGATCGCCGCGCGGTTATTACTATTACTCGTGGGGCTTCGGCGGTAAGATGTGGCAAAAGGCAGTCGAAGGAAAGACGTGATGCACGGCTGGGCGCATTTGCGTGAAGTGGTACGCGCGCTGGAGGGAGTGCTGAATGCTGTGCTGTGCTGTGCTGTAGGTGCAGATGCAGCTCGTCACTCGCGGTATGAATGCCCGTCGCGGTGGCTGGACTCGATTATTCGCTATTCTCGCATCGCACTGCTGGGTGGGAGTTGTTAGCAGCCAAATTCCTGATCATGCGCGACTCTCATGGCAGTGCGCGTTGTCGGGCGAGGCGAGGCGAGGCGAGGCGAGGCGTGGCGAGGCGTGGCAGATGGCAGTGAGTGGCAGATTGGCGTGTAGTTGCCGGAGTACATATAAACACACACTTTCCGCCAGCCACGTTTTTTACCGAAGCTACGCACGCCAAGAACAGCGCATGTCCGAATGCTCTCCGTACACATCGCGTGCTTCAATAATGATTGTTTGACTCGGCGCACAAGTGACACCCAAAATGGCGCAAGTATGTTCGGCAGCAACAATCCCATGGCAGAATCGAAGGCTGACACAGAATGATAGAAAGCCGCCAAAACGCAGGCCGCTCGCAACACTCAGACCCTCAATCGCACCCACTCTATCGCATTGGGAGTCAACGTCCTCTTCCTACTGTTGAAGTACATCCTCCGCCGGCAACGATCGCTCACCCTGTATCTCATTCTCAATGCTCCCGCGCTCCTGATTGAGTTCTGGTTTGAACGCATCGGCCGACCCACCTTCGTCGATGGCGAGCTCAAGCGCGCTGGAGAGGATCTGGAGTCCAAGGGTCTCACAGAGTGGATGTGGGATGTCACATACTGGACCTGGATCTGCGTCGGCGCAGTGAGTCTCTTTGGCGATTGGGCTTGGTGGCTGTGGGCCATCGTGCCGCTGTACTCCGTCTACCTTGCCTGGACCACCTACACAGGCGTCAGAGGAGGCATGGGCGGACTTATGGGAGCCGACAACCAGCAAGCTGCAGGTGGTGCGGCTGGCCAGAGTAAGAGACAGGCGAAGTTGGAAAAGAGAGGTGGGCAGAAGGTGCAGTACCGATGATATACAAGCGCCATGCAAGCTACCCACATCTCGTCTCTCCATTACTGCTCTCCGAGAACACCCTCCTCTATTCCTTTTGTTCATTTCTTTGACAACATGCTGACCATCCCCAAAATCCCGTTCTGCTGGTGCTCGTCCAGCCTGATCCCCAACTTCTCCCCTAACACTCTTATCCTCTCCTGCTCACTCTTCAGCTCTTTCACCTCCACCTTGACTCCATCAATCCTCCTCTGATACCTTCCTCCAATGATCAGATCCTCACCGACAACCTCCTCTCCATCCTCACTCAAGATAAACTTCACAGCCAACACAATGTGCGTAAAGAAAGTCATCGGACTAGTACTACAAAACAAATTCATCATCTCAAAATCCTGCGGCAAAAACTCCACATTCTCCGGGAAACAAGTCATGGCAACCCAAGAATCTTCTTCGCTAATCCTCTTCTCCCAGATCCAAAACTTGGACTCCAAATTCTCGCTTGCCTCGAGAATATCGTACCTCAATCGAATCTGCTGACTACGTCTCATATTCAGATGCACAGTCCCCTCCTCCAGCGGCAAAGGTCTCGTACAAGACCCAGCCCCAAACCCAACGTCAACCATATACCTCCTCCCATCACTCAACGTCACAATATTCAACAAATGCGCAAACCCATAGAAGAATCCTCTTCCCCCAACAACATCACCATTCGGCCCCGCTGCCGAACTCACTCGCGCACAGGTCGTGTAAAACTTAAACCCCAAACTTCTCAAAACCGTCGCGAAAAGATTGTTGTTCTCCATACAATACCCTCCTCTCCCATTTCCAGAGATGACAATCTTCTCGAACAGAATCTCAGGATGAATATCGATATGTTTGGTTCGGGAGTAATGTAATTCAAGGTTCTCGAACGGGATGTGAGATAGGGTATATCTTTGCAACGCGTATAGATATTCGTAGCCTTCTGGACCGGTGGCGACGGCTTGCGAGTCGGGGCCTGCAGGGAGGCGCCATTTTGGAGGGAGCTTGATTCGTGTGTAGAATTGGAAGATTTGGTCTGGAGTATAGGTTGGGCGGGAGGAGGACATTTTTCAACTGATTGAACGCAGACACGACGACGACCCCAGAAAGTCTCTGCCTTGTTCAATTATTTACACTTTTTTTTTGGCCTTCAGGATCTGGATCAGGTACAGCCGCAATTTAACCTTTCCTGTAGGACAGCGGTGAACGACGAGTCGTGCGAATCCTTGGACCGACCTGGTTGGCTATCACGCGGCGGTGTGAAGAAAGTAAAAGAGAGAAAAAAATTCTTGTTGCTACTACGCTCAACGCCATTTTGACTGGTTTGAAGTCCCTTATGCGAACTACCGTGTCGTCAGCCCTGCGGTTCGGACGATGGTATCACAAGTATACATCGATTCGGTACTTTCCTAATTCGGCATGCCAAGATGGGATCGATGGGGGATGGATGGCGCGAGCTACAGTCTTCTACTACGCTATGTCGTTCTCTCGCAATCATATTTTACGTCCATGAGCATAGATTTGAGGCGTTGCAAAAGCAAAATGTCGGACCAACCCGATCAGTAACTCACTATTATCACTAGGTGATAACATTCTTGTCTACCTCTCTCTAATGCCGACCGCGGCGTAAAATTGATTTTCGTGTAGTTATGCTCAAACCACATTGCAGTATTCGCCTCCAGTGCGATATTGCTGAGACAGCAACAGGTCCACCATTCTGCAACGCACCATTCTCGACTTTGCGAGCACTATTTCCGTATGCATGGAAGAAGCCAGCGGGAAAGTTTGAGCACGAGAAGACTGCTACTCCAACATTTGTAACTTCTTGACCTGGTGCTGGTGTGGTCTTGGTGAGGCCAAAGGGGCTTTTATTCTGGCTGTCGCAAACACCGAATTGGTAGTAATACCACGTAAATGGCTCCAGTCCCTTAGCTTCGACATTCACGGTCTAATCGATGTCTGAGGAAGTGATGCTTTGCCTTGGGCTGATGTGGCACTGAGAGCTTTGTTTGCAGATATGTCCCATTGTATGTAGATGGGTTGCTGCTGGATTTGACGTATTGCTGCGTGTCATGGTAATAGAGCGCAGCAGTGCCAGAAACAGTGACGTTGCTCTCGTCATTTTCTACGACAGGATTTGCACGCGTCTAGCCAGCATTAGGTGTGCTGCTGCTTTCCCGAGAGGATGCTCATCCATAGAATGACGCTGTTCGCGTAAGGGTACCCGGACGCCACGCCGTGAGTGAAGGTGATGTCGCTCGCTTTGATGTAGGACGCACTAACTCTCCTGTCGCTTTCGTACTTTGGGCAGGGACATTCCCAGACTATGGCTGTTGCTAGGACTGCCATGGTTGATATTGCCATTCCAGTCTGCAGCCACTGCGACCAAGGCGAAGAAAGCTTGAAGGAGATGCATGCTCGGAGAAGAGTTGAAATGACGCAGATATCAAGGAAACCGACCTACCAGGTCAAATCCAGCTATTTAGAAGAGATACGCTCTATGGAAGCTGGTGGACGCGAATCTCGCAGCGCCAAGTGTCGGGTATTGGATCAATCTTTCGGTAGCAATTCCGATCGTGATGAGGTTCCCGAGTATTTTCCTGGCTGCTTGCCATGTCCAGTCCCTGTGGACGATGCTTATGCGGGACAACGAAGATTGGGCAATGTTTGGCCAGGATGAATGGATCGATGCTGGCGAATTAGGCCACGCCGCCAAGAGTGAAAGGAAAAGCATCTCTGAAATGGAAGGTGTGCATGCCGTCTGAGATATCTGTATGCGAGCTTGCGGCGGGTTGCATTGATGGCACATTGCAAGGATGTGAGGAGTGTCTCGATATGTCGGCGGGAAGAAAGGTGAGGTGAGGTAGAGGTCGGGACACTCGCGGCACGGCGCGTGCCACGTGACCGTCAAGACCTCTGATAATCTTGAGTGAGCACATCGCAGTCTGAGACGAACGCAACTCTTCAAACATGCCAGCAACACTCAAGCGCAAGGGCTCGCCGGCTCTCGAGGAAGAGTCAGAATCATCGAAGCGGAGATTTGCGGAAAGCGCAGACCAAGAATCAACAGAGAAGGCAGAAGATGCACCAGCAGAACCAAAGTCGACAGAAGATGCTTCAACGCCTACAACAGTGCCGCCAGCAAACGACAGAGCTGCTAGATTCGCAGCGTTGCGCGCGCGGAATGCCGAGAGTAGGAAGTCGAATCTCCAGGATACGAAACATGAAGCACAAAAGGCATCGATAGACCCGTCGCAGCTCACGAATATCAATCGCAAAAAGGACATTGCTCAGCACAAGCTCCTCAAAGCTGAAATCGAGGAGGCTGGTGGAGACTTTGAGCGACAGCGGGCATGGGACTGGACGGTGGAGGAGTCAGAGCGCTGGGACAAGCGCTTGGCAAAGAAGGAGCGCAACAAGGACAACAATGCTTTTGCAGACTACAACAAGGAGGCTGGGAAGGTGTACAAGCGGCAACTTAATACCATGCAAAAAGCCGGATTTGATGAGAGATTGGAGGGATATGAACAAGACAAGCGCGATGCGATCAATCGTGCTGTCGCAAGCGGTGGGCTGGAGATTGTCGAGACTGCAGACGGTGAGCTGATCGCGGTGGACAAGGACGGCAGCTTCTACTCCACCGCTGATAGCACGTCTTTCAGCGAGAGCAAGCCTTCCAAAGCTGCAGTGGACCGGCTCGTGGATGACATCAAGAAGGCGGAAGAAATTCGGTTGAAGAAGCGAAGAGAGCGTGGTCGTGCAGACGAGGATGGTGGAGACGTGACATACATCAACGAAAAGAACAGGCAGTTCAACCTGAAGCTCGCGAGGTTCTACAACAAGTACACAGCAGATATCAGAGAGAGCTTCGAGAGAGGAACGGCGATATGAGCATAGTCGAACGATGGATTCATGAGATCAGTACGAAGTGACGGCTTGAGAGACAAACGATGCCTTGAGCACGATTCCATTATATACCACGCGGCCTGAATATTTGAACCTCGTTCACCAGCAAAACGTTCGCAACGTCAAGCTGCTTCCTGCTCGCTGATTGGTTGAAAACAGAGTTGTGGCCCATTGAGCACTCCCGAGGCTACAAGCATTCTTCTGATAGTACACCAACTACAAGTTCGACTTGGCCTTGTGCACCGCATAGATGGAACTTCACGACCTCATCTGCACAAAACCCAGGGCTTTGAAGCTTGCCGCCTCGCGGTCATTCGTTCCTCGCATTGTCCGCAACGCGCGGGCTGCGGACCAGACGTGCGATCGTCGAGCGGTTTGCATGCAGGCATCATCGCGCCATCTGCCGCTAAATCTGACCGCACCGGTTCTTTGTTGTACAGCTTCGTTCATGCTCGCCTTCGCGTCTTCACTGCTTCTTGGCGCCAACTGAATGGTCGCTGCCTCTCCACAAGAACGAAGGATCCATCAATGATTCATCGGCCCTGAAAAGATTCCAATGAGATATCTTCGTAGAAAGATGATAAGACGTTCGACACATTCCCTGCCTCGCCTTCATCGCAAGCATCATGAAGCACCACGAAATCGATGAGAAAGCGCTCAAAGCCGTCGGCACTCCGCCTGGTGATCAAGTAGTCGACATCGAATCTGGAGAAGACAATGACGACAAACGGCACGAGCTTGTCGAGACCGAGGACGGGCATGCTAAAGCAGAGAATGATGAGAAGGAGAAACAAGGTGGCCTCAAAGACTACTGGCGAATATTCCGTTATGCCGACAGACAAGACATCTTGTTCTATGTCATCTCGCTAGGATTCTCGATTGCATCTGGTGCTGCACTACCATTAATGACGTAAATTTGAACAGAGAACCTCGAAAGAATTCATAAAAGATATGTGCTGACTTGGAATCTTTCGCATCAGACTTGTTTTCGGCGGCTTCACGACAGACTTCAGCAATTTCCAACAGGGACGTACAACGCCAGATGCATTTCGCAATCGAGTCGACACATTCGTTCTCTGGTTCATCTGGATTTTCATCGCTCGCTTCCTTTTGGCCTACATCTGCAATGTTCTGATCAACATCGCTGCCGTCCGCGTTACTCGAGCTCTACGAACAGCTTTCCTAGAGAGCACCCTTCGGCAAGAGATCTGGCATTTCGACAAGCAGAGCAATGTGTCTGCTGCGACGCAGGTCACTACCAACGGCAATCGGGTGAGTAGACCAAAGGGCAGAAGCCCTCATCCTGCACATTCCCGCCTTGTAGCCCTCTTGTCTCACTCTCAATCGCCAATCGAGTCACCTGGTCGCAGGCGGCTTCCTCTCGCTTAGGACATCTGCTAATGCTTCTACCCTTCACTTTTAGGTAAATCAAGGCATCGCAGAAAAGCTTGCTGCCATGGTCCAGGGCATTTCACTATTCTTCTCTAGCTTCATCATTGCCATCGCTGTACAATGGAAGCTGGCTCTGATTTGTATAACGATAGTGCCAGCACTGTTCCTGGTCGTTGGTGGCTGTATTGCTGTAGATGCAAAGCAAGAAGCACGAATCACGAGATTCTACTCCCGCGCGGCGGTGCTTGCGCAGGATGCAATTAGCTCTGTCAGAACCATTCATGCCTTTGGCGCTCAGAGCAAAATTGTTGAAAGATACGACGAATACCTCGAGATGGCCCACAAGGAAGCCTGGAAAAAGTCACCCGTCTATGGGATCATGTTCTCTTCCGAGACATTTCTGGTCTTTTGTGCAACAGCCCTTGCGTTCTGGCAGGGCTATCGGATGTACACCTGGGGCGAGATCGACAGCGTCGGCACAGTGTTCACGGTCGTCCTCTCCGTGGGCATCGGAGCAACATCAATATCTCTTGTCGCGCCACAACAGCAAGCGATATCGAACGCTGCATCTGCTGCGTCGGAGCTGTTCCTGATCATTGACAAGAAGTCGCTTCTTGATCCCTTGTCTAAAGAAGGTAAGCAGCCGAGCTCATGCGAAGGCCACATTGAGGTCAAGAATTTGTCATTCTGCTATCCTCAACGACCAGATGCTAAGGTCCTGACGAATCTTACTCTTTCGATACCAGCAGGCAAGACGACGGCGCTGGTAGGCCCTAGTGGTTGCGGAAAGTCAACATTGATCGGTTTGCTTGAAAGATGGTATCAATATGGAGGTGGCCAGATTTTGCTTGATGGGGTGGAACTACCTGAATACAACATCAATTGGCTTCGCAGCAATATTCGACTTGTTCAGCAAGAACCAGTGTTGTTCAGCGGAACAGTCTTCGAGAACGTTGCGAAAGGGCTCTTAGGTGAGCAGCTCGATCTTCCACATGATAAGAAGATGGAGCTTGTGCAGGAAGCCTGCAAGCAGTCGAATGCACACGACTTCATCATGGAACTTCCAGAAGGCTATGACACTCAAGTTGGCGAAAGAGCGTCCATGCTCAGTGGTGGGCAGCGTCAACGAGTTGCCATTGCACGAAGTATCATATCTGATCCGAAAGTCCTGCTTCTCGATGAAGCAACGAGTGCTTTGGATCCCACGGCTGAAAGGATCGTCCAGGCGGCTCTGAATAAGGTTTCCGCCGACAAGACGACCCTCATCATCGCCCATAAGCTTGCCACTGTCAAGGCGGCTGACAATATCGCTGTCATGAAGGATGGTGTTGTGTTTGAGCAGGGCAGTCACAAAGAACTAATGGAGCGCGACGGGCAGTATGCTGCTATGGTCCGCGCCCAAGATCTGGGGGCTAAAGCTGGACAGGCCGAGCTTACTGGTGAAGACGACGACTGCGACAACGATAATGCTCTGGAACAACCCGTCTCTTTACAGAGAACGAAAACGGAAGCGGCGTCGAGCGTTGCTGAGAAGAGAATCAAGAATCTCACAAGCGGAACACTGGACTATGGTCTCGCCAAGTGCGTCTGGATCATGTTCGCAGAGAACCCGAAGCTTTACTGGTGCTACGCCGTCTCCATTTGTGGCGGCCTGATCGGTGGAGGCACGTATCCAGCTCAAGCGATCTTATTTTCGAGACTCATCGGCGTCTTCGCAATTCAGGACCAAGCCGAAGCACAAAGTCGAGCAAATCTCTTCGCACTCATGTTCTTTGTGCTGGCCATTGCAAATCTGTTTGCGTATTTCGCGATTGGCTGGGTCACGAATACCATCGGACAGGAGGTCACACATCGATATCGAAAGGAGATGGTCGAGCGAGTAATTAATTTCGATCAGGACTTCTTTGATCGTGCGGAGAACAGCTCAGGATCTCTCACTTCGAAATTGTCTTCAGTGCCGACGTCCTTGCAGGAGCTGATTTCGGCCAATATCATGCTCATGTTTATCGTCCTGGTCAACTTGAGTGCATCCAGTATCCTCGGAATTGCTTATGGCTGGAAGCTCGGTCTCGTTGTTGTCTTCGGCGGTCTACCATTGCTCGTGGGCTCAGGCTATGTCCGCATTCGACTTGATCAAAAGCTTGAGGAAGATGCTGGGAATCGGTTTGCGGAAAGTGCAGGGTTGGCGACGGAAGCAGTTACGTCTATCCGCACCATATCTTCACTTACCCTGGAGAACCAGGTGATGAAAGAGTACAGTGATGCTATGGGCACCATCGTGCAAAGATCTACGAAGGGCTTCTTGATCACGATGTTCCCATATGCGCTATCTCAGTCTTTGGAGTTTCTGGTCCTGGCTCTTGGCTTCTGGTATGGCTCGAGACTTCTCGCCAGTTACGAATACACCACCGATCAGTTTTTCGTCGTCTTCATCGCTGTCGTGTTTGGAGGGCAAGCGGCAGGACAGTTCTTCGGCTACAGCTCTTCCATCACTAAAGCCAGATCCGCTGCCAATTACATTCTCTGGCTGCGGACCGTCAAAGCAAAGATCCGAGAGACGCCAGAGAACGAAGGCAGAGGACCGTCTGGCGAGGGCCCAATCGAGATGCAAGATGTCGAGTTTCGATACATCCAACGACATGCTTCGCGTGTCCTCCGTGGTATCAGCATGAGGATTGACCCGGGTCAGTACGTCGCTTTCGTGGGTTCATCTGGTTGTGGCAAGAGTACGCTCGTGTCTTTACTCGAACGTTTCTACGATCCTACGAGCGGTCGCATCACACTCAACGAAGATGACATTGCTACCATGTCACCTCAGCTGTACCGCGGCTACATGTCACTCGTGCAGCAAGAACCTCCTCTTTACCAAGGCTCGGTTCGCGAGAACATTTCTCTTGGTCTACGATACGAGCCTTCAGACGACGAAGTGAACGAAGCACTCCAGCAAAGCAATGGTCTGGAATTCGTGTCCTCACTACCCGAAGGTCTCGAAACACCTTGTGGCTCCAAAGGCCTCCAATTCTCAGGTGGACAACGCCAACGTATTGCTGTCGCTCGAGCGCTGATCCGAAAGCCACGCCTCTTGCTTCTTGATGAGGCCACTTCAGCACTTGACACGCAAAGTGAGAGAGTCGTCCAGAAGGCTTTGGATGAGGCTGCTTCGAGTCGGACGACGATTGCTGTGGCACATCGTTTGAGTACAATTCGGCATGCGAATACGATCTACGTTATTGCTGATGGCAAGATTGCGGAAATGGGTACGCATGAAGAGTTGCAGGCTCTCAAGGGAAGGTATTATGCGATGTGTCTGGCGCAGTCGCTCGATCAGGCTTGAGGAGTAGATCATGATTAAAATGCTCATTTTCCTGCGAGATGTGGAGGGCGAACGCGGTGCAGGAGTATATTTTAATGGGAAGGTCGGGTGAAGAGTGAGGAGGAACGAGCCGTGAAAGTTTTGAAATGCTTTGGGAAGGCTTAGGTGAGTCTTAGTGTTGTCCCAGGCAACGTAATAACGAGGCAGGTAAGACACGGTCGATTCCGTGTTGTACTATTGCGATTGCATTCACGCGTTCAAGACACTGGCACGCTCACTTCAACTCCATTCACTCTCGATACAGCTCTCGAATCATTGAAAATTGATGAGACACCATAGCGCAGAACTTGGCACCAGTCGACGCAGAATATAAGAGAGTGTTGGCACTACTCCCAGGTGTACTGAACAACGGCGATCTCGCTCGCTCGCTTGTTGGATGCTGTGGAGCCAAGCGCACTGCCTCACTTTCCGAGTACGATTTGCGACGACGACGATCAGAGATGGATAAGCCAATTGAGATGAGGAGATCAAATCGGCGACAGTATACTGGAATCCGGTAGTCACACGATACTGCATGTTCTTTCGGTTGTCTCTGCTTGCTGCTGCTAGCGAGCCATCGAAATCGATATCGACACCGACACCAAAGCAGGAGAACCAGAATCAGAAGAAGTGATCTCGTTTGGAGATTCGCAACATGGGGAAGCATGACGCGACGGAGCGAACGTTAGAACTCCTCACTAGGAACTGAAGGTTCTTTCGAGGGCCGAGGAAGTGATGTGGGCCGTATCTTCTTCAGGAGTGCGGCATGGAGACTGAAATCCGACTTTCACCTCCCCGTGGTGGTCTCCGGGTATTTGTTCAATCCACAAGTAGCGAACGAAAGCGGTGCAGCTAGCTGGTCAGATACGGATGATAGCGAGCGATGTCATCAAAGCGGAACTGTCTACCTTGTCCAACACTCGCGAGTGACTCAGGTAATGCAAACGATCAGCGCTACAGGCACGAGATATCTATCTGCGTTATCCAGGAACCGAAAAGTCAGATATGATCTTTGACGGATCATTGTCAGAGTCCAGCAGAGCTTGATGGTCAAGACCACCAGTCGAAGAGCTTCCAGGCGAAATTACTCACTCGCCAAGACATGAGGACAGTTCATCAACAAGGTGGCCAAAATTTCACATATCTGAGACTCATCGGACAAGAGATCTATCACGAGCATCTCAAGGTGCAGATCTTCAACGCTCCTGGCAAGTAGCCCTCATTGAGCAACGATGGACTGTTCAACATCGAGGACTCATCATACGAACGAAAAGTTGAGCAAAGATCGACTGCCTCCGGATTGGTATAATCGGTTTGGAGAGCGTCTCGTTCAAAGAATCGTGGATGTTAGCCTTGAACACTACATCTGGCTTCATCAACGAAGCTCCACGGACCTTTCACGTTTCGAAGAGAGAAGGTATCCTCTTTACTTACTGCTTGGTGCTGCTTTGAAACCCATATCGGCATATAAAGCTATCGGATGTAGCGTAACGGAAGAGCTTTGATGGTAGAAGGTATAGTGGCACACGTCGTCGCTGCGGTCCGCTTCTGACAATCATGCCGGCACACGCAACGCTCCGGGCCTTCAACTCATGCCGCATGACAGCAAGCGCATCGAGCGATATTATCCTCTGCATTCATCGACTTTTGCTCCACACTCTAGGAGCATTCGGCTTTTGCTTGCTTGCTGTATCATTCCCCGTCTGTGTTCCGATCTGCTCCGGGATCCTTCACCGGAATACCATTTCGCCCAATCAAGCTGAACGTGATCTATGAGCATCTGGGCACAGGTGGCAGTGCAGAAGTAGCCATGTATTTGTCTATATACATCCAGATCCCGCTAGCGCTCCACCCCCTCCTGTTTCATCTGCATGGCTCAGAATTCTGGAAGCGAATTGGCCCTTTCCACATGCTCACTTGACAACGCAAGCACATGAAAGGTTGTCTTGTTGTTTGGGTTTCCTGCATTGCGCAACCAACCACCTGTAGTATGCCACATGTGTTTTGCCATTAATCTGTGCGACTGTTCATGCATGAGACCGTGAACATGTTGCTAGTCGCGCACAGATCCACGTGCGAACCGTCCGAGCCCTTCGAAGGTTCTATTACATCTGCGATGGCTCGTTCACATATTCGATTGTAGTGCTGTCAACGCTACTGCGCCGAAAGCCAGAAAAGATTTCGGCGCTCGAGAACTCACACAGGTCTGACCAACGCTATGGTCTAAAAGTCGCCAACACAGATCAGCGATTGCTAGTTTATTGCCAAGAATTTCACATGCGGGTCTAGTTTTCTCACTAGAGGGCGGCGCGAGATTCTTTTGCCACGAGATCACGCTCTGGCAGCGCTGTAGCATGTCAATTGCTGATTGCATCTAACAGCGTCCAACGTGCTTTGAATAATCCTGTTGTCAAGTTTGAGGGCAGGAAGTGATTATGGAATCAAGCTTATCTATGGTTCTTGGGAACTAGGTGTCTGTACGAGGTCTTCTATGACTGTGACCACATTGACGTGTTGGTACACGCAGAATGCACATGTCGTAATCCGACAAGTCGCACAAATTTCCGAAAACAATGCTAAGTTAGGAAAATTTTGTAGCACTCCAAGGTCTTTTTTTTTGCCTTCGCATGAGAACATCATGCCAAAAGTATCCGCACAATGTTTCCAACGCTTGTATCCCGTGTTTAGAGTAACGTTGGCTGGGACGAGCTGAGTTGCGTCATGCTCATCATGCGTAGCGATCGGGGCCCCCGGGCTTAAAGATCTCAGCAGATCGCTTGAGGTCGGAAGGTAGAGAAAGACGATTTCTGGGTTGATAAGCATGGGAGTCCCCTTGAGATCCGCTCGTCTCGATCCTGTCTATAAAACCAATGCTACTGCGTCGACGAGGAGGCAGAATGTGTTCAAAAGATGATTCCACATCGCCTCGAAAATCGCGCAGCGCCGCTATTTCGTGTCGTTCTGGTACGCAAGGACGCTCTGGGGGTGATATACCAAGATGAGATGCCCATGTAGCAACGTCCCGCGTTCTCTGATCAAGCTCAGCTTCCATGCTCAAGCCCTCTTTGATATGCCGCCTAAAAGACTCCCGGTCCTGCTTCTGCAGATGTTGCACTGTCAATTTTGATCTCAAATACGATGGATCCAAACGTCCAGTACCTCCAGGGCTCAAGCTCTGACCTGCCCGGCCTGCATCTTCATCACGATGAGAAAATGACCTGGGGAGCTGAATGCTTGGCTCCGAAGTACAACACTGGCTGGGCTCTGGCTGCAGGCCAGCATCCAAACAGGACTTCTTTGCTTCTTCGGCCTCTCGTGTCGCGGCCTCAAGCTCGTCGACTATTCCTGCTCTCTGATGACGATATTCTTGATCGATATGACTGTCAGAACAACTAAGTGCACGATCCTGATCCAGCAGCAAAATGTTGCGACGTGCTTTGGCTTCGAGATAGTCGTAATCAAGCCCAACCAACATATCCCGCAACAAGCCTGCATCGCCGGCTTTGTCATAGTAGGTCTCGAGCAGCGGATTGAGATGAGTCGATTCCGTAGACCGGGATTTCCCGTCTATGCCTTCCATGAACCACGTCTCGCCATAATCAGGCTCATTGATGACCCCAATTGCGCGTGCGAGAGATTCCAGAGCACTGAAAAGGTCGTTTTCACGTTCCCGCACGGTGAATTCCAGGTTTGCCAATCGACCCTGACAGGTCTGCAGTCGCGCGACATGGGCTTCGAGAGTACCGAAATCAGCCTCCAGCAGCTCGCTCTTCTCGCACAGCTGATCAGACAATCGCGCCCAGCTGCCCTCAGCCTGGGCGATTTTCAAGGCTTGACATAACTCACGCTGTGAGTCGCGAACAGAGGAACGTAGCTGGAGGTATCGTCGCAAGGAAATCTGGACTTCCGCATGGGTCTTCAGAGCCGAGTGTCGTGAACGGAGAAGGTCGGCATAGCTCTTGCGGGTTTCCTGGTATAGACGAGCCGCTCTGTCGCGAGGCAAGAGATGCTGCGGCAAGTCACCGTCGCCGTGCTCCAACAAGATTCCGGTTGCTTGGGCGGGTGGCGGGTGATCTTTCGCGTCGGCGGTCGATATTTGCGTATCTTTAGCTTCGTTGTATGTGATCTGCTCGTCCAGGCCTTTGTCTCCCGCGTGGCGATATGCGAAGGGATTCAGACGACCAAGTACGGCGCCGATTGATCCCATAGCAGGGGCTGCACACTGTGGCAAGCAAGCGATTGTTCGAACATCGCCACGTATCTTCGCAGTGATGAGTATCGTTTCAGGGGCCGACAATGACTGGATCCGCAAGCCCTTGTTTTGAACGGCTGGTTGGCCGGGCAAAGGCTACAGACTACAGTACTTGTATAATGTCCCATGACTTTCAAACAGCAGTGCATGCATGCATGCATGAGCTTTTAACGACATGCAGCAGGCCGACACCTGCTGGTTGACCGTTGCCGTCTGGTCATCCTGTCGCCCTCGGTATCTTTTGCACCAGATAAAGGGCCGCTAGGTAGAACGATGTGTTGGCAGTGCTCTAGACGGGGACTACTACCACGATACTGAACAGAACCCATTCTATGCGATGCGGCTCTGCCCCCATGCACGTGGCCGTCTGTTATGAGATTCCTCTCGGCAGCTTCGACGTAGAGTCAGCATCGCATGGTCTGGCTCGCGAGTTGATGACCCATTCCCACGACCGGGAAGCATGGCCCCGAAGTTGATATGGTCTGAGTCTCGTCAGACCTGGTATACCGTCGATTCCGATTCGAAAGGCAACAAGAGGTACTCGAAAGCAGACCCGGCCAGTCCCCAAGCCTCTTCCTCGCCACAACGGCGGACCAGTGTGACCTCAAGCAGCCCGCAAAGCTATGGAGAGAGACAAAGTCAGGGAGAGCAGAGCAGCATCTCCAGCATTACCGATGGCATCAACCAAGTTGCTGTCAGTGACCGGACGCGCTTTCAACAGCGTCCTCCTGACTTTTTCAAAGTGGGACGTGTCTTCGCAACCGAGCGACGGCCCTACCGTGGAGATCTGGACTCTCGTGCCACCGCTGTGCTTGATATTGCTGCTGGCCAGGACACTGGCCTTGGTTCCCAGGGCACCGGTCATCAGATCTATGTCGTTGTGAAAGAAGATGACAGCAACGACACAGATATCTGCTACGTACTTGAAGTAAACACTTATGGACGCCGCGGAGTCGCCAGCCCAGGTGTCGTGAAAGCTGACCATGGAATTATATATTCGGGCAGGGAAGAGCCTCGGCCAGATCCAGACGAAGAACCGGCTCGGCGAGAGGAAGGCATGTGCGCGGTAGCGCTGAGGGTTGAAATGCGACTGCCAGACTTGAAGCTTCACTTGAAGTCTCGCATAAATTACAGAACACTTCGCCAATTCCCCAAAGGAGAGCCAGTTCACCATCTGGGCATGGTACACAAGCATTCCATGGCTTGGTTGATCGGCCAAATGTTACATGTGCAGACACGGTACCAATCTGGATCAGCACCTGAAGAAGCCGATGATGATGATGACGATGATGACGATGACGATGATGATGACGATGACGATGACGATGATGGGATTGGCGGCGGCGGCCAGGTAGCCAGCGGTTCTGGTGGCAAATCGTCTCAGCAGGCCAATCTGGCACTCGAAGCACAAAAGGCCAAAGATGCTTACCACCGTATGATACGCCAGGGTTTCACCCAAAATCAGGCTATCGAGAAAATTGCCGAGACGCTGAGAAACAAGAATCAACAATGGTCAAGGGAAGGAGCCATAGAAGCTGCTAAAGGAAGGCTGCGGTGTGCGCCCAACGGGATCAACGTCTGAAAATTGTCCTCAACTGACCGAAGGGACTCCACCTTCCACGATACGAAGTCTCCAAGCATACCTTGATTCTTTTTCAGTTGGCGTCACGGTTTCATGTTGAGCTGTCAGCGAACATTTCCATCAATTGCTCACTTCGATACGTGGATACTGCTCTTTAGCCTCGCCTTGCGCGGGCCTGGGCGAACATCCTGTCTGGCACTTATCTCACCATACTACTATCTTACCCTCTGGCATATCGGGCACCTAAGGATCATACTGTGGCAATTCTGTCTCTCTCTGTGGATGACGCCTAAGATGAACGATTTGGCAACGGATTACTTTACTAGAGAATGAACGAATAGCAGCCTGCACTTGCCTACGATTTTCAATATTCCGAGTTATTCTTGCACCGTTTTTAGCGGCGGAGAACGCGGTATTCTACAATGTGGCATATCAAGCTATGAGACAATGCATGTAGAAGGAGACCGAAGCAACCGGTGCCCTGGATACCTCATTTTTCAGAAATGCTACATAGTATATCCATCCCGAGCAAGCGTCGAGTTCACTCGTTCTATATGGTCTGTTGCATTCTCCACTTCCGTAAAATCTGGTGGCTTTGCCCAATCGCGCTTGTCTGCAGTACACGATGTGCTTTCGGCACTTTCGAAGTCTATTGTCCGTCCTGGCATCATGCCTCCCAATAGCGCTCCAAGACCATTAGGAGTCCTGGACCACACCAGCTTAGTCTGCATCAGCAAGTCTGGAACCGATCGAGGATGAATCATCCCCACACTGCGAGCTTTGACGTTGTGCTCAATGGTGTATACTTTGCTGTAGTGAACACGTGACTTGGAAGCCAGTTTTTCTATGGGATTGTCGGGGTCCACTCGGATGCCGATGGCAACCATTGGCAACTCGCCTCTTGCTGGAAGCTCGTCCTCGTGTGGCTCTGACGCTTTGGACCCCATGTAGACAATGCCATGGTCAGCTTTGTTGATCCCTTGCTTAGAAACGCCCTTGTTGCCGTAGGACATGATGGGTCTGATGCTGTTAGGCACTGCTACAACGGGTTGGAAAGGGTTACCTTACATCGCAAGACAATGCCGCTCTGCTTCACCAATCACAATGAATCGTCTGACCTTTTGATGCAGCCAGTCATCGTACAGTCCCTTCAGTGTAAACTGGCTGGATTCGGAGAGACGTTCATCGCCCAGTGGTTCTGTCCACAATATCATGAATACCTATGGTGGTCAGCCTCGGCCGCGGACGTCCAAATGCCAAAACTTACCCTTCCAAGCCTGAAGAATCTCTTAGGATGTGGCTGCTGTTTAAACGCTACTAGTGTAAGCATTACACAGAGTCGGGCGGCAAATTGAAAGTCTCACTGTCATAGAGTGCCTTCGTAGTGCCATGCTCATCCCCTCTCATATTTGACACATGTTGTCCAACTGGTCGATCGGCCGTAGAGGGCCTGCGTGCATGCCACGTGTGCGCAGACGGAGAATTAGCCTGGTGTGCTGGCCACCTGACCATCGGCTGAAGGCTCGTACTGGTCTGGTAAAGATGTGGCAGTAAACCGAAAGCATCATTGAGGCCCGGAGACTGATTTTGAAGAATTCTAGGAGTGTTTCGGTTTGGAGAAAGGGCAGGTGAAAACACTCCACCATCGTAGTTTTGTGCTCTGTATACGGGATTCCCAGCCTGTGAAACGGAACGTGTATGGCTATAGTGCTCATCGCCACGGTAGGGGGTATTAGGTTGCAGAAAATTAGTCGTAGGCAGTGCTTGAAAAGGTCCAAGAGGCGAAGGACCAAAGCCGCTGTACAGTGTATGCTGGTGGGACGAAGGCGAAGTCGGAGAAGGTGTGACCATGTGATGCGGCGTTTGAGGTATCGTTGAGCTGGAGGATGGATAGTGCCGACACGAATTGTGATAATTTACGCTGTATGACTGTAAGCGAAGACGAGTCTCCAATGGGTTCAAAGCCTGTCACTTGCCTGGGGATCTGAGGAGAACTACCATCCTCCGAACTAACTCCTGTAGCTCGTGCTGAATCGGATGCTGCTCGCTCGTCGAATGCCTCGGCCTCGTCTACAAGTCTCCGAAGCAGATTCCATCGACTGTGTTCTGCGCACACAGTTGATAGACTTGTCCTTGCACTTGCCTGGCGTAATTGCTCATCGAGACTGTACGTAACGTGAAACTCTGGGCTTTGTCTCTGTGACGAGCCTTGTCCCGTGGCGTAGGTATCCAGAATGTCCACCACGGCTCGGGCAATTTTGGCAAATCCAGGACGACATAGAAGCTGGTGTGCTTCTTCAGAAAGGTCACCCATCGCTTGTCGTACTCAAGAGCTCAGAACATGTTCTCCTCGCTCTTATAGATATGCAATTAGGTCCCAAAGCACTGACTTGGGCATCGCTTGCGATTTTTGTACTGGTCCACGTATCAGGCTGAAGTGCAAACGTCAGGACGCGACGGAGACACTGCTTTCATACCCAGCACCATGCGAACCACAAGGGTAGCTAGCTGCACGATGGGATCCTTGGTGCATCCCTCATGCACCATTTTCCCACCAAGCAGGCGTATACTGTACAGACAGTATTGGGCAGCCGAGCGGCGAATAGCAGGCAGCAAGTGACTGCGCCACCTGAATAGTGATAGTCGGTGAGATTGTGGAGGTTCGGCGATTGCAGGTGAATAGAGAGTGGTAGGGAGGCGTCAGTTAGAAGATCGAGGCCGCAGTTTTCTGGCAGCGCAGGTCATGATATATGACCATCACTCTGCCAGGCCAGGGGATACTCCAGTACAGTCACGGTCCACGGAACTCGCTGAAGTTCGGTGATCAGTCCCAAGGCGGGTGTACAATAAGACCGCATACCAGTCAGTCCACGTCACGCCAAATTTACGAATGACCGGCCTCCCTCCTCCGCCTGGCATGCCCACTGCCGATGAGCCAAAATCACATCAACGTCAAGAGGCATGAATCCACCGGCAGAAGCCGTGGACATCAACCAGCTCAGCTTGGAAATTGCCAAAACCCGCGAACAGGCCCTGGAGCTCCGAGTGAAGGTGCAAAGCAGCTATGGAAAAATCAAACATTGTATGAGGCATTTCGACGAGTCTCGACAGGCTTTCATGGAAGCACTGCAGCAAATGGAAAGCACTGGCACCCCACAATATGAAGTTCTCAAACATCTTGACGAAAGAGTCAGAGAGGACTGTGAAGCTTTAAAGACCTCTATGACTGAGCTGCAGGAGGTGCACTACAACCTGAGCGGTCTGGATTTCAAATTGTTCAGCGACGAGCAAAAAGTGTATGGCAAACAGAGCTACATGGATCGATTGCTTGGCTCGGGCCAGGTCGCGCCGTCGACAATCGAAAGTATAACCGTAGCTCCGCAGCCCTTTCAAGATTCCGACGGGCTCCACCCGCTATTGGAAGAGTACTTCGACGTGCTCGGTGACAGCAAGCTTTTCAGGGAGCGATTGGACTATGAGTTGCCTCAAGAGCAATCTGACAGGCGGCGAGAGCGTGAGCGACATATTGACCAAGGTGTATCCGTGCCATCAAGCGAAAGCGAGTTTGAACTCGAACTCATCAAGGAGTATCAAGCTTTGGAGAGAGAGCTGGCACAAACAAACACTCGGGCGGCAGAGCTTCTGAGGCTCTGTCTTCAAGCTGGTCTTGACCCGGACCCATCAAAATATGCGCGTCAAAGTGACAACGGATCTCTCGTAAGCAAGGTCGAAAGCAAAGTAGCCCGCTGGCTCGGACGCATGAGCGATACAGACAACCCTTCTGATCAACCCTTCCCGGATGATGGACATTCTTGGTCTGATCACGACACTACAACTGTGGCCGGCTCGACTGTACCTTCCATCGATAAATCAACAGCAGAACGTGGACAACTAACGACGATCTCCACAATTCACGCAACAACGGAAGAAGGACTAGATTTAGAGAGTGCCTCCGGAATTACGATGAAACAGTCCAAGGACTCTCATCTAGACAGCGGGCCTTGAAATTCTTGTTCAGTTCCGCGGCTGCTCGAAAATCGTGATCAATGCAATACTATGTACATGGATCCAAAAGTGATCTGGCTGCTCAATCACATATAACACTTCCCTCATTCTTCTCGTCGATGCGGGGATCGCCAGGCGCAGTGTCGGAGCATTAGGTCTGAGCCATGCTGCACGATTCTGAGCAGGAGCTCGCATGCAGCAACCAAAAACTGGCTAAATAATCGTTGTAGACTCATTTAGAGCGACATGGCCCTTACATTGGGCTTGGAGAAGGACTGCAGCTTTCCTCGGATGTCCAATTTCAACCAGAGGCCACATCATCCGTGGACGATTCCCTCAAGTCACTCACCCATTTCGCTGCCGATGGCATTTCTGGCACGAGCCTCATCAACCCGGTCATAATTTGCGACTCGACTTGTCCAATGGCCCATTCAACTGAAGCGATCCTTTTCTCGACCTCTTTAACCGACTCTGACCTTGCGCGAATTGTCCTACCATCCTCAAGAAGCTGTGCTTTGGCACTGTCCCAATCCTCACCATCTATCGAATTGTCTGTAGCAAGGACGTCGCAGACCAAGCTCATGGAGTCCTCGAAGAATCGGCGCCCGTTCTGATATTCTTGCATGACATGGGCTCTCTGGGCCTGTAAACAGAGCCATGCACTGCGATGACGGCCAAGCTGGGTGTACAGACGAGTGACAGCCTGCAATCCACCCTGATTGTTGTCCAAGCCGGCCTGTCTAACGGCGGCAGTTGGCGAGTTGCCGATGGTGTCGTGCTCTTGGTTGGATGGCATTGGAATCCTGACTCGCGTCATGGCGACAATGGAAGAGGCTATGAAGGCGCTTTTTAGACCTTAAGATTGGTCGTTGCTTATTGGCTGGGGATGCAGTAACGAAGATGATTCCAAAATCAGGTTTTGTTCACTCATAAGATCCCTATATGGAGACCAAATGCCTGCTGAGGTGACACGGATTGCACAATGTGCTGCGCAGATGCAAAGAGTATCCATCCTCGGAGGGCGGGGCTTGGGACCATTATTCTAAAGCTTCGAAGCCCGACTTGGCTTGGCAACACTCCCACGGATCATACATCTGAGGTGACGTGACAGCGTTTTGCTGGCTCCCATCAGTGTTTGAACTCGCCTTGTTGCACCCGCGCTTGCATGTTTGCTGCTAGACCTCAAGCATTCCACGAGTCTCCGGGGAAGGCGCAATCCAATCATCCGGGAAAGTGAGGCTCGGCTCGAACTACATCGCCTCACAAATGCTTGGTCAGAGTTTAGCATATTGCTGTATTCAAAAAGTCGCGCTATGTGCGGAGACCATAGATATTTCCGTGTAGCTACTGTTTTGCCGTAGACCTACCTATACTATACAAAATTAGTAGCAATCTAGGGACGGAACGAAAGCCTTTCTTACTACTAACTACTTAGGTCCTCTAGTAACGATTAGGGTTAAGAACAAGGCTAAACCGGAAGCAGTTAACAAGCCGTCGCTATACTAAGAGCCTCTAAGCGACCGTAGAAGCCTTCTTCTAAGAGGAAAGAAGCCCTCGCTCTATAGCAATCTACTAACAAACGAGCTACTAAGAAGAGCCGCCGAGAGCCGACCGTTAAGCTAAGTAAAGGACCTAATACGGATAACGAGTTGCTTAGTAAGACTTAGCTAACCTAGCAAATTAGCGTAGACGACGAGGACTATATATCGGCTAAAAAGGAAAATAAAGCTATAGAATAAGAAGTAGAGGTCTTCGAGTACGTATTATAGTAGATAATAGCTAATCTAACTAACCTACGGTTACTACTTGCGACTAAGTACTTTCCTCGTAAGACTACCGGCAATAGCGAGGCTTACTACGAGGAATTCTACGATTAGTACGCTAATTAGCGTAATACTAGCACTAACGACGACGACTATAAGTTAGCTAGCTTAGAGATTGTCGCCTTAGCGGATAAGATTAAGACTAAGCACTATTTCCGTAGAACTAGTGTCTAGAAGGGCAATTTCTAACGTACGTACGATATACTAGCCTCTTAGCACTCTTAGGGCAAGAAGGGGTTAAGACTAGACTTTAAGTTATCGATTAAGCGCCGGAAGATAGTAATAATTAAAGAGCCGCCTCGTACTACGAATAGAGCCTTACAAGGTCGTCGAAGCCGGATAACTAGAGCCCGTATAATAGCTATATAGTAATAACTAGACGCTCTACGTACGAGCTAGATAGAAGCCGCCGAGGGCTAATCTAATAGCTCGGAAGCTAAAGCTAATAATAATAATAGCGGTTTAACTAGCTTACTATCGGATTAGCGTTACGAGTTAGTAAAGCGATAGCCGTGTAAGAACAGATACTGCCTTAATAAAGGTAGACTTTGCTAGTTTAGCGGTCCGGACAGAGCGGAAGACTACTACAAAATCTACCCTAAGATTGCCTCTCGATAGGTAAAAGGCGTACGAGATAGTCGCTTATCTATTACTAATCTAGGCTCCGCACTAGCATTAAAGATATAGAAGAATAGGGGCAGGCAACTAGCTAACCTATTTAAAACTCTACAGACAGTTAGAACGGCCGCTGTTAGCGCTTTAACCCCTATAGTAATCTACAATTACTATAGCTAGCAAGGGGCTCTTTAAAAGCGCTCTCGGTTGTCTAGTCTACTAGCGGCTTCTATAGTAGCTTCTAGTCTAGCAGGTAGACTGCTATTAAGTCTAATTCTAGCCTCGGTCGCTTCCTATTAATCGTATATAGCGGATATAGAATTAATAGGCTTCTTTAGCTAGTTACGTAAAGAATTAAGTAGCAGCTAGACTAAGCGACATAGTAATATAGCCAATATTGAGCGTGTGTTCGCTAAAGAAGGCGACTTCTTACTTAAATAGCTAAGGAGGGTTAAACTAAGCCGTTAGACTACTGCTAGACTTAAGGAAGGCTAATACGCTCGATTTGTCGCCGCAGTTAGTCGATATATAGACAAGGAGACACGTAAGCAGCGGCTTAGTCGGATTAATAAGTCGTTAGATAGTCTGTTTTATAGTTAGCTATAGAAGCGCTATTTTAGGGTAGAAGCGAGGCCGAAGAAGGTAGGTAGATTTCCGGTCGTAGGTCGGCGGCTTAATAGCTAATATTTAGTCTAACTAATATCGCTTCTTATTCTACTAACACTACGTATTTTTATATAGTATAAATTAGAGGTGCATTAGATAGATATAGTCTCGGCTCTCTATACTTGTAGTAATAAAAAACAATGCGTTATAGTATTGCGCTAGTATCTAGTTAGAGTAGTTAAAATTAGCTTCTTAAGTATAGACCCGCTAAGCTTAACCGCCGAGCAAAGCCGAGTAGACGCCGAAATTTCGGTATAGAGGAGGCGCTCGAAGTCGCGAATTTTCGAATATCTTATCGTAGCTATATCTTTATTATAACTGCATCTTTTTTAAAACGAACAACGGGAGGTTGTTTAGCGGCATTAATAGTATTGTTTCCTACCGAAGAGACAATATAGATATGTTATAGTAGTATTGTGTTATTGCCCTATCGGTTAGTATAGATTCCGGCTTTCGAAGCTATACTCTCCGGGCCGCTACTTGATTGCGATACGAATATAGCGACCTACTAATAGCACTACCTTTAGTAAACTCGAGATGTTATATACGATATAAACGGCTTAAACCCTACTAAATTCTAGGCTCTTTAATCGCTATAGCTACTAGTAGCGTATTAGAAGTATGTTAATTAGGTATCGGTATAGATTCGACTAATTCCTCGTTCCTTATAGATTGCGGATAGTTAAGAAGAAGAGGACCTTATACAAGATGCTACTACTATATTACCGACTACTGCATTACCGTTAGCTATCAATTTAAGAGGCTTATCGCTATAGCTAGTACTACTAGATCTATAGTATATAGAAGCGATAATAAAGGAGGTTGCTACCGATACTGCGCGTACTATTATAGAAGAAATAAGATAGGAAATAGAGGAGTTAAAAAGCCGTATTACTAAGTTAGAGGTAGTTGTTAGTATAAGCGAGTCTATACGAGATTAAGTGTAATTAATATCTCTAACCTACCTTCTAAAACTACGCTTCTACGTACTGTTTAGTATTTAACTCGTTAATAGCGTGTCTTATAAACTGTCCGAAGTCTGTAAAGCAATTAGCCTCGTAGATATTCTTCTTAACCTATACCTTTAGCGACGAGAAGGACAATTTAATAGGATTAAAGTCTAGTAAGTATAGCGGTAGCATCTTTAGGTATATACCTACCTGTCGATACGCTTCTTTTATACTATCTATACGGTAGATTAACGCGTTATCTATAACTAATACTATACCTAGCTCTATTTGCGGTAGGACCGTATTCTTTAGCTAACTCTCGAACATATCGCTAGTAATAGAACCTTAGTAGATAAGCGTACCTCGAAGGTATCTATTTATACCGATAGTAGGTAATATACTCTACCTCTTCGAGCGTACCGTCGAGCCCTCTTCCTATATAGGGCGATTAATAGGCGAGTATCTATACTTCCGCTATCTAGTACGCTTATTTAAGGCACTCTCGTCGACGGTTATAACCCTCTCTACTAATACGCCTATTTGCTATACTCTAAAGTTATCGCGTAACTCGCTATTTTGCTTATAAGCGACACGAAACGCCTTCTTCCTCGACTAGCTACGCTCTTTTAGTATCCGAGAGATCGTCGGTTAGCTTATAACTACGCTAAACTTATTCTATAGATACTATATTACCTTATCCTAGTACGCCGTCGGTCGATTTGCGAGGAACTTAAAGATACGCTATAGTAAGAGATAGATTAGTAACAAGCGACCTTATAAGAGCCGGAAATATATATATCTTTATAGATTAGTAGGAGCCTTCGAGAGCGACCTAATTTAGCTAGATTACTAATATATAGTATACTAAATAACTTATAATTGTTATAGAGTTTGTCGATAGTCCGCCTAGCGATATTAACGAGCTTAGAGATGCTAATATTAGATAGGTTGCGCTCGTCGAAAAGCCGTTTAATCTTATTAAGTTAATCGTCTAGCAAACGCGCTATAATAATACCTTTAAGGGCTCTATACTACTGCAAATGCGACGATATAGAAATTGGACATTATAGTAGAGTACTGCAGGCGCCAAGAACACTAGGTTACATACTAATTATAGTAACAGCAGGTGTCGCACTGAATTTCCGCCCTCCGACCGCATAGCGCGACTTTTTGAATACGACAATAGCACCAAGACTGCTTCACTTGATTCATATCCATATTTTCACGGCGGAATTGACGACGGAAGCCACAGGATTGCCTTGAGAGATAAGCAGCAATCGTCCAACCGTCCAGACAATTTAGATCACGTTGGCCAGGTCACGCTGATCGGCAGCAGGCCTATCGAAGTCGCACCGCTGTGATGCTGAGACCAGCCAGCTCCCGGCATCACCATCCCTTTGCATAAAGCAACCCATGACGATATCTTTGACTGCGCAACAAGAGTGGCGAAGCTGCTCCGGGGAAGTTGGTGGCCGGGCTGTATTGAGGTGCGAATCAGTTTCGGGTTAAAGCTGTGGATCAGTCTCAGAGCTGGTACTATCACTTTGGGATACTGCTTGGTGGTCGCCGGGCTTGAAGAGCTGTGTACTTAGCTCGAGTTGACTAAACATGAAGAGAATGAACCAGCAATAGAACTGGTGCGCTTCGAGTTTCTAGTTTGCAGAGTTGAAGCCGAATCGCCTCGCATTTGCTTATGGCAATGGCATCCTACTTCTTCCCCCTTCCTCTGGCATTAAAGCTCTTCAGCGGATCCAGTCCTTTGCCCTTCGCAAGCCTTCCCTTCCCTCTCGCCTTGTTAAATGCTCTCGCCTTCCGAATCTTGTTCTCCTTGTCCTTTCTGATGCCCACATATCCTACATCCTTTGCGACAGCTTGCTTACCTCCTTGTGGCAGGAGGTAATCCGGCACATGCTTCAGATGAGGCTGTGACCTCACAGCATGCGTCTCAGTATCATGCCGCAAATGCTTCAAGTCCTCTGGATTCTCCTCGAAATGTCTCTTCAGCTTCTCGCTCTTGATGAGCTCGTTCCTCAGCTCCTGCGTGCGAGCCTCACGTACAGCGATTCGAGTCACTGCACGCAGAGCATCAGCCAGTCGGTAGCGAAAGCCTTCCAACTTCGCCCAATCAAGTCCCCACTCCTTCACTTCAGCTCCCTTCTCAGCCTGCTTCTTCACGATCTTTGTAATGACTTCCTCATCCTTCTCACATTGGGCGATACTCGTAGGCTTGTGCTTGCGATACAACTCTTTCGGTACCCAGAAGCTCAGTGCCATACCTGTCTGCCCTGCTCTTGCGGTACGGCCGATCCGATGCGTATATGACTTGTTAGATTGTGGTAGGTCGAAGTTGAGGACACAAGTGACATTTTGGAAGTCAATGCCGCGGGAGACACCGTATTCGCGATCATTCCTCGATTTTCGCTGCTTCTTCGCTGGCCGTGATGTGGATGAGTCACCATTCTCTTTCTCAGCGTCCTGTGCCTCCGCCTCTTGCTCAACCTCTTCGTCTTCCTGCTCGGCCTCCCGCCGCTTCTTCCTCTTACCGCCCTCATTGCCAATCACTTCAGCCTCGTCCGCAGCAATTATCGTGTTGTAGACACCGCGATTAAATTCCTGCACAACGTGTAGCCGACTGTTGACCGGGAGCTCTGAGTTCAGCACACAACTGCGAATGCCAAATTGCTCCAAAAAGAGCTTGACGCGGTAGCAGCGATCGATATCTGCGACGAAAATGATAAATTTTCCCTTGATGAGCTGCAGCTTGAAGATTGCGTAGAGCAACAAAAATTTCTCATCTTCGGCAGTCTTCACAGTGTACTGTGCGAGAGTCGGCTTCTCTTTCGCCTCTTCCGACTTCAGATCCAGGATCTCAGGCTGCTGCGAGCCTTCGGGGAAGAACAACAGGCTCAACTTGTCCAACTGATCGGAGAGGGAAGCAGAAACCATCATTTTCTGTACGCCAGCCGGCAAGGCGCCGGCAATTGCTTGCACATCATCATTCTCTTCGTAGCCCAGTATCAGATCCGCCTCGTCGATGATCAGATGCTTTAATGCGTTTAATTTCAGGACTTCCTGGTTGTAATACTGATTCGCTCTTCCTGGGGTTGCGATCACGATATCCGGCTGCTCAGACAACCTTGCTCTTGTCACGTTTGCATCCTCATTCCTCGTGATATTCTCGATCCGAATCGCGTTCGCACAGAAGGATGTGATATCTTTCGCGGCGTTGGTGACTTGGGTCGCGAGCTCTTTCGTTGGAACCAGGATCAGCACTGACGTTGTCTTGGACTTTTTTGAGCCTGCTTTTCGCTGTAATATGGCATGCACAGTGGGAAGAAGATATGCCAGTGTCTTTCCGGAACCTGTCTTCGCACGCGCGAGCACATCTTGGCCTGTAAGTGCTAGAGGGATGGCTCGCGACTGTACGGGCGTTGGAGTTGTAAACTTTTGCTTGCTGATGGCTTGGAGGAGGCGGGGATCGATGTCTAGGCTGGCGAAGGCCTTTGTAGAAGTCGTCGTCGTTGTCGTCTTGCCCGTCTTCGAAGGCTCCGGGACATCGTGCTCATTCAATTTGCGCTTCATCTTGGGCAATATGCGCCAGGCGCTGGATGGTTTGTGAGGCACTTCACCGTCTGAAATTTTGGCCGATGCTGCACAGTGCAGACCCCAGAAGATCGACAGCAGGGATCCTCGGCTTCGGTTCTTTAGCGCAAACCTTGCTCGAGGACTTCCGCTGCTGCTACAAAGAATCCATCATCCATCATACGCCAAACATTACATGATGTGCCACTCCCGACAAAATGCTTCGGAGCTTTCTGCATCATCTAGTGGCAGCTCCATTGAACCACTGAACAATAGCACCTTCGCGAGCATGCCTCCCGACAAAGGCTGCACTTCAGCAATCATTCCAACACAATCGTTGACTATGCAAACATGCTACCACACCTTCAATGCCCGGCTTTGTTCGCCTGCAGCGAGAGCACTCGCGAGAGAGCGTGTGAGAGTGGCCGCTTCTTGCACCTTAGAAATGGCAAACGTACTGGCTTTGGCAACGATCAGTTAAGTACCATCTCCAAATCCCCTCCATGTCTGTCTTCTCTCCATCAGCTTCTGCAACCAAATCAATTGCCTCGCTTACCGAAAAACACTCGACCGTCCTGAAATCGTTTGAACTTCGGCAGAACAAGAATCTACTGAAAGAGGTGGAAAGAAGACAGTGCGAGAAAGCGTACTCAGATCTGCAAAGAGCCATTGATTCCAAAGACAAGTCAAGACAAGTCCTTTTACCATGGCCACTTCACCTACAGAGAAGGGCTCTGGTCTGAGCGGCAACGTCCCGCAGTCTGAGCAAGTGCAGCCAGACAAGTCTGGCATTGAGTCTTGGCTCGAAGATGTTCAGATTACCCCAACCGAAAGTCTTACAGGCCTTCAACCTTTCAATCCGAAGACTTTCAGCAAGAATGATACCTTTCTCTACTGCAACGTTGGCAACAGTGACTTGCTCAAGCATGACTTCTTCACTTCCAACGACAAGAAGATTGTGGAAGCAACTTTCAAAGATCAAGTGCTGCGGCAGATAGGCGCAGGTTTCCAACCATACAGCACCTTCGGTAAAGGCAGATTTCTGATCAAAGATTCCAGCAATGTTCGCGATGTTCTCGAGACAACGAAATGCATTGCTGTTGTAATCACTTGGAATGGCCCAGGATTCCCCCCACCTGATCTCCAAAAAGAGAGCTTGATCCAGACTGGAGTTCTGGCAGAGAACCCTGCTGGCGGATCGAAGAATCTGATCGGTCCTGCACTCAACGTTGCCAAGTACAAGAAGAGCTGGACGAACCCAGAGCACAATGCAGGCCGTCGGTGGCGTTGGGTCAGAGTTGAGCTCTTCAAGCACAACGACGAGCTCTCAGAAGGTCTCGATGGCTTTGCAGAGAGCTTGAAGAATGACCGCGAGTATCCAGGCGATGTTACCGTGGAGCACGGAACGATGTTCGTTGACATCACGAGCGTTTCCATTACCGACCTTTTCTCAAAAGCTGGCGTTGAGAAGCTCGGAATCAACGTCGCGATGTGGACCGAGGTCACTGTCGCTTTGCTGACCAAGGAATTTAATGGACGCCCGGAGATCGCGAAGCACGCGAATAAATTCTTCGATCTCAAGCACGATGAGACTGAAAACCACTTCGGTCTCAAGCTTTGTGTGGGCAACGAACGCAGAATTGGTATGGATGCCGATGACAACTTCGTTCTCTACAATGCTCCATGTGCCAAGTTCTTCTACAAAAACGGTGGCTCGGTTGCTGAGTTCCTGATAAATCGCTGGTCAGGAAGTTATATGCCAGATCCTGAAGGTCTGACCAAGATACTTCGTGGCAAGACGGTGCGTTTCCACACAGATGACGGATGGGTGACGAAGACCATCCGGGAAGTGCACAGCAGTACAGCAGACCACGCCATGCAAGATGACAAGCACGAATTCTGGCGAGAAAAGACCGACCTCAAGTTTTCGCATCACGACCTGCCATGCATTGACGTGGGCACAAGATACAAGCGCGAGCTTATGCCGGCATCTCTTTGCAAGTTCGTTGGCGCGCAGACTTACACTGGTCCTGGCACAGGCTACGAAGTGAAAGTACACTTGCACAAGAAAGATTCTATCAATCGTAACGTGCGAGTTGGTCAGGCTGCATACGAAATACGAACAACGAAGCCGACGAAGGTATCTCGCAAGGTGAAATTAGACGACCTAATCAAGGAAGCTTTCGATGCCAACATGAAAGTCGGATTTCTCGAAGTCGGTGTGGAAAGCAGACATTCGGCCGAGTGGACGATCCTTCGCGATAAACTTGTTCGCATCTTGAAGAAATACCAGCTGCCTGCGATTGTAGACCCACGCAACCTCAAGCCGCTTTTCTTGCAGTACAGCGAAGGCGGGGACAGTGCGAAGGATTGGGCACTTCAGCTGCGTCGTTGGAAGCAAAACAACCAGACCGAAGGCGAGAAAGTGCTGGCGATTGTTCTTCTCAGCGATGATCAGCATCACGCTACCATCTACAATGTCCTGAAAGGCTTGGGCGATTCTTCTCTCGGTATCCAGACTTACTTTCTCAAGGCCACGGTCCTGAAGAACAAGGCTTTTGACGATGAAAACATGAGCATGGCTGCACACGAGGTGGTCCGACGCATGGCACGCCGCAACTTGCCGGCTCTTGTGTTCTCTGATGCCAAGCTGGACATTGCCATAGCGATTCATATCGAGCCAGTAATCATCAACATGAGAGAGATCGACAAGGATTGCGGCTTGAAGAACAAGCCATGTCGCAAATATCTTGTTGCGCTATCTTCACGACACACTTTTTCGAGCCGAGATTACAAGACCATCGAATCACGGCTGTTCGAGCATGATGAGCTTGCAGATCCGGGGCACATCAAACGTGAGCTCAAGAAATTTCTTGCTGGCTCGACTCCAAATAGCACCGAACACCAAGTGACCCTGATCAGAACCGGCTCAGAGTTCGGAGATGTTGAAGTTGAGGCTAGGGTGTTGTCGACAGGTGTAAAAGAAGCACTTGGGCAAGCTTGTCAGGTGTCTTACATCTCTCTGCACGAAGATGAGTCCTCAAAAGCTCTGGCGCGAGACCAAAATGAGCATCTTCAAAAGTCAGAGGGAGTCACTATGCTCCTCGCAGATATGCGCGACGCATCAGAATCCCGCATTGGCAAATTGTACCGGCGCACAGCTGCCACCAACTCTACTCACGCCTTCAATATCCATCTTTTTGGTGACAGACTGGCGGTCGAGGCGGCTGCTGAGCCATCTGTAAAGCGAGATTCGCCCATCGAACCCAACCCAGCAGATCTCATTCGCAACCTGAAAATCAATACCGCACATAGCGGTACTGAAGTGGACAGTGGCTACGGCGGCTCGAAGACCTCATCCTCCAAGACCACGAGCCCGACGGAATCAACACATCAGATCCAAGTTCGTGGTGAACTCCCAATCACGAAGCTTGAGGTCAAGCGCCTAGTCGCTCTTTGGTCGGACGCAAGCCTTGGTCTTCACGATACCAAACTCCCAATCCCTTCTCATCTGGCGCAAGCTGCTACGAAGCGGGCTTTGACTCATATCTCCGAGATCTCTACAAATCAGCAGCGGGTGAAGTATGAGGAACCCAAACTCAATGCAGTACACGAAGATGTGAAGAATACCCTATACTACCTTTAGAGACCGTCAGTATTTCCGTTCTGTACAACTACCGACATCTTCACTTCGGACAATCATTCAATCACACTTTATTATAAGTCCCCTTCACTGAAAGAGGCCGGCTACCATGGTAGCTGTGTCAAGCTCATCTCACTTCGTTGAGAGCCACTGGCAGACTTTTGGCACTGGGCAGCAATTGCTCTTCATCAACATAGATAGCTTTCAATCAAACATTTGCTCCTCAATCGCGCATGGTTTTCACATCGTAGCTTGACCATTTCTACTTCTTCACCGCACCTTCTAGCCCTTGGTACCTGGTCTCAGCAATTAATCCTGCGCGGCCCTAGTAACAATTGATTAGAAATTGATTCAGTATTGATTGAAGCCCCCGGCGCAGGACTAAAGGTTGCTGAGACCTAACTCAATCTCCTCCACCCAGCCACTCTTTCTAACATAGCGAAAACGAGAGAATCTCCCAATTGACACGCATTTCAACCCATGTCTACCACTACCACTGCCCCACTGTCAATGAAGGTGGAAATGCAAACACAAATAAAAGAACAAATTGAGAAATTCCGCTTAATCGACGTCTCCGAACACACTTTAAATTCCAACCCAAAAGAAAGACAACGATGTAAAACCCAGTACTACCAAGTGAAAGCCGCTGTCAGTAGAGAACACGAAGCTAAAGAAAACCTGGACAAGACCCGACACGAATACAAAAATCTCAAAACCCATTACCAAGAGTCGAAAGCAGAGATTCTGGAGCTGGAAGGGAGGAAATTTGAAGATGACAAGACGATTTCTGAATTGAGGAGAGAGGTACAGAGGTTGAAGAAGGAGCTCAAATCACGCCAGGAGCAACGGAAACCACATGCGCTGGGCCAAGCCGCGTTTTTCCGGAACTCACAAAAATGTAAGCGAAGGAAAGCTAACTTGAAGACGATGAGGGCGCAGAGAGACGCGCTTCGGGAGGAGCTCGACGGTGTTCGAGCTAAGCATATGATGGAGCTCGAGAAGGCTGTGGAGCGTGAGGAGTCTTGTTTGCTTGGAGTATTTAGTTTGATGAGACGGCAGATTGACGATTTGCGGGAGGAGAAAGATAGATTGGTAAAGACGAATGCGGGTTTGACTTCTCGTAGGACTATGTAGGGATGCGAGCGAATTTGTAACATCCAAGGAGCCTTTCCTCAGCGATGGTGCCAAAGTTCTGGTTTGTAGACTCATTCACCTCGCGAAGATTGTTTAAGAGGGATCATAGCCCCAGGTTCTAGAGCTGCTTTGCTCGGGCTTTCCTCTCCGAAAGAACGTCCTCCTCGCCGGACCTGATATTCCACGGAAGGGGCCGATAGTTTCTGTGTTGAGCAAAACCTCTTACACTCCATCGATCCGCTTCAGGATGTCTAAGGCATCTTGATGTACCTCTGCCAAGCCTGACTCCCATCTTCCAATACGCGTCCCAGAAGCATGAAAAGTATACCGCTCGAACGGTGCTTCTCGTGATCTCGTGTCCTCTAATAAACTGCTTGAGATCTTCGATGGAGTTGAATTCGAATACGTTGTGCTTCAGGTATTCTGAGTAGGCCTCCGAGAGCCATTTTTTACACACCAGGAAGTCGGTGAGTTGCGTCTTCTGTTCTGATGGCTGTGGTTGCTGGCCGCCGAAGGAGAGTCGGCAAAAGCATTCGCGTATCAGAACAAGCCGATAGATCTCGGCTCGAAGTTCGGCGGGAAGACGAAAAAAATGACACACGTTATGCTGTCGACCAGCCTGGGCCTTGCCGTCAGCTGCCATGCTGTATAGGTGATGGTGTGCGCGAATGGTTATCGATGCGCGAATCTGCAAGGTGGTGCCAGCTGTGCTTTTATTCAATTTTGGTAACTTCTCGTGGGTAGCCAGATGCCGACCGAAGAAACTTCTTTCCAGTTAAAAGCAAGAAGCACTCGGCTCGGACCTTGAGAAATAGCTGTCAAAAGTCGGGGCTTCGTTCAATCTCGTGAGGTGGTAGCATTCCAGCCGCTGGAAGAACACTCGAAAGCTCATGTATCGGTGGACGAAATTTTTCGAAATCCGCCTGTCTTTTTGCTGACCGCAGCAATGAAGTGAGCACAGACATGGTGGGGATATCGCGTTGTAGAATTCGCGGATCGTGGCAATCCTTCAGGCTTCTACGACTAAGGGGAAGACCCATGATATCCTCAGCTCTGGGAATCGCGCAAACCTGAAGTGCAATAAAGAGGAGAGCTTTGATATTGGCAGCTCTGTGCACGCCGAAGCTTGCTACCTCTTCATCGCACGTACTTATCCATGAACCGCCTGTGGAAGTCACTTCGCAGCAGGTCATTCACGAATCTCTTCTCCTTACCTCTCTCCTCAGTCCCTCTCGCCTGGTTTTTGAATACCACATCATCATCCCACCGCCTCTTCACACCATATTCTTCCTTCTTAGGATTCAGCAGCGGATTTCCTAGCGCAATGTCCTTCTCTCTCTGCTCCTCTTCTTTCTGCGCTTGCTCCGCAGCTTCCTTGGCAGCTTTCTCTGCGCGCTCCGCTTTGATCTTGGCAAGCTCGCGCATCAATTCTGCAGACTCGTCTTCTTCATCGTTCTCCGACTCCGACTCTTCTGACGACGACGATGAATCTGAATCGGCATCGATGTCGCGGGTCTCTTCCAACACTCGCCGCTTCTTGGCCTCATAGTCCTCTTCCGCTTCCGCATCTCCATTGCCTTCTTGTTGCACATCGCTCATTTTGCGCTTCACCCCACCTGCCTCGCCCTCGCCGGCTTCAATCTGCTTTGGTGGCGCAATATCCTCGTCATCGTCGTCGATATCTCGCCCTTCCTTCTTGGCGGAGTGCTTTGCTTCAGCCCTGAGAAGTTCCGCTCTCAGGTCGCGCTTTGCTTGCTCTGCGCTGGTGCCTTGGCCGGCCTGTCTGAATTTTAATGTCTTATGCGCTGGAAGCAGGCGCTGGTGGTATGCTTCACCGCGAGCAGCTTCCTTGCCGCGCGCTGGATCGAACGTCGGTCGGTGAGCGGTCGTCATGATTGCTACGGCACAGCGTTGAGTTGTATCCGCAGCTGAATTGGAAGTGAGCGCCGTCGCCGTTGCAAGTTTGAGTGCAGTTCGCGATCCACAAAGCCACAAAGCCGACAAAAGCTCCGACCGTGTAGGCCCCCTCTTGATATGTCATTCCACAAGGCCACAGTGAGCCACAAAGCCAAAGTTTCTCGACGGCTTCACGTTTGCACGTCTCTGCCCAGAGCTTATTCCAGCTTCTTTGGATCACAGATTAAGATGACTTAACACCAAAATGCCGCGCGAAGCAGATCCGTCGAATAACGAGCGGGAGTTTCTTCTCTCAGCACTTCGCGAGAACATTCGCCTCGACGGCCGCGCCTTCGACCAATTCCGCAATATCGATCTCGCGTTTGGCGAAGAGTACGGCACTGCAGATGTGCGCATTGGCAAGACAAGAGTGCTGGCAAAGATCTCGGCGACTGTGGTGCAGCCATACGAGGACAGGAAATTCGATGGCGTCTTCACAATATCCACAGAGTTGAGCCCAATCGCAAGCCCGGCATTCGAAGTAGGACGGTAGGTTTGGGGATGTGGCATTAAGCCAAGCAAGGTAAGTGCTGATTTTCTGTTCGATAGACAAGACCAGACAGAAGTGCTTCTCTCTCGCATCCTCGAAAAGACCATTCGCAGATCAGGTGCACTTGACACGGAATCTCTCTGTATAGTCGCTGGCCAGAAATGCTGGCATGTTCGCGCGGACATTCACATCCTAGACCACGATGGCAATCTCGTCGACGCTGCATGCGCAGCCCTTGTCGCCGCTATCATGCACTTCAGAAGGCCAGATGTAGAGGTACATGGTGAAGATGTCACGGTGTTCGGGCTTAGGGAACGAGAGCCGGTGAAGTTACAAATGCAGCACCAACCCTTCTGCGTCACCTTCTCCTACTACGATGCTGGCGAGATTATGCTTCAGGACGCGACATTACTTGAAGAGCAGTGCAGAGAAGGCGAAGTTGTGGTGAGCATCAATAGGTTTGGGGAGGTGTGCCAGATTGCGAAATATGGAGGAACACCGGTGGATGGGCTTTCGGTGCTCACGTGCACGAATCAAGCCCTGGAGAAGGCGAAGATGCTAGATAAGTTGGTGAAGCAGAAGCTGGAGGAGGATGAGAAGAGGAGGACACCTGTTGGCCTTGTGGCGGAGCTAAGAGCCGAGAATGAGAGACCAGCAGGTGATAGAGGCTCCGAAGTGATACCTGGCTGAAAGAGATAGCACAATAGTAGTTTTCCACAACCAGTGAGGATGGAAGTGAGGCTTCGGCCACCGAAGAGAGCGACGCAAGCAGAGCTGGACGCGCGTATATATTGAGAGGAGGTCCTTCTGGTCCTGGAGGCTGGAGAGGCATATTGACGTTCGAATAGATGGCCGATGGGCAGAATATCGAACGACCCAAGTATGCGCGGCGCATTGCAAAACGTAGTCTCATGACTGCAGAACGACCATTAGGCCTACAATGCGCTGCTTGCACAATAACAAGACACCTTGAAGTTATTCAGCCCACGGGTTCCCAGCAAGACGGCGAGGCGCCGTGTCAGGACAATAAGACATTGACTGCAAAGCTAGCTGATAAAGTCCCCTCCTCAAACATAGCCATGCTTCACATGACAAAGTAGTGGCTCTTGCCTCGCTCAGATCTCCACATGCTGAGGCGCGCCAGCCGGTCAAGAAGCTACCTCATATAAGCTTGCAGCAACGACAACAACTTCTGGTCACCAACATCAACCACCGGTGAACATTCAACTCATCCACACCACTTTCAACATGGCCTCAAGCTCTCCGTACCTTGCATAACCCACTCGACCCGCACTGGAAAGGGTCGTTAAGGCTACTCATTCTTCCACCAATCCATCATCCCATTGCGACAATCTCGACCGTCTCGAATACCGCCATCACATGCGCGCCGAAGCGCCAGCACAATCCAGTACGTCCGCGCCAATGCCTTCTTTTTGTTGCTCCAATGTCACTTAACCACGAACAAGCCTCACATCACTCAAAGCTGGCTTTTCCTATACGCTACACCAGGCTTAGCCTCATTCTAGCGGCATTTTGTCAGCAAGACAGCCTGCTCATAGCGTTTTCAGGATATGCTTGTCTAGATCCTCACATGAAGCACCTTGTCGATCTGGATCTGGATCTTTCTTCAACTGTCAGTGCTCACTTTTACGGCGGACATACGGCGGGAACGGACGACCATCAGCAAGAGCTAACACTGACTTCCTGACAGACTTCAGCCTTGCCGGGACACTCCGACAAACCTCAGAAAAAAGCACAGAAACACCGCTGCCTTAGCGCTCATCGCGTAGGCTTGTAAGTATGGACGAGTGGCAGAGTTCGTCCAGCAGCCGCAGTCGTCGTGACACCTTCAAACCCGAGGGAAGGTCGCTCTTCTCCAATCGTCAGCCCACAACAGAATCTAAGCCGAAAAGGATGCAATGGAATTGGGAGGGTCTGGAAAACAACGACAACTCTGTCGAAGAAGGCTTTTCTGCTCAGTCAAAATCAAGAGGCGTATCTGGAAGGTCTGGCGATCTATCCAGCTCACGGAACACTCCTGGCCTGAAACGGCCAGTTCAAGCGGCAACCCCAACACCAGACCCAGCATCCAAACGGACGAAGACCAGCCCGTCGTCAAGCTTTCAGAAGGCCCAGCGTCGGCAAGAGCGCCAAAGATCGCAGGGCAGTATGGGTCGCCCCGAGACTGACGGAATTGCTGACGGCTTCTCACCTCCTCCTCAGCACCGATTGTCATTCTTCTCCAAACGATCCAGGACGGTATCAGAAGCCACTTCGCCTCCACAGCCGCAGACGCAGACTTCTTTCTTCTCTAAGCATGCCAAGCCGGCTCTGGGAGAAATCTCGAGGCAAAATAAAGCGCCGGCCCCAAGCACAGCACGAAAGTCCACTGGCGGGCTTTTCATGGACGACGATTCAGATGATACGTCTGATGGCAGCCCTCCGGCTCCGTTACTTCAAGATCCTCTTCCGAAGCCGCCAGCCGACACAATTTCGTCTGAAACTCGCAAGGAGAATGACTTGCTGCAGATCAGAGAAAAAATCCTGAAAGAGAGTGCTCGACGCCGTGCAGAAGCTTTAGCTCAGCGGAGACAGGCTCCCGAAAGCAATGGGTTGCCGCAGAATAAGCAAGAAATCCAGAGAGAGAGTGAGCGACGCCGAGCAGAAAATGTAGCCAAGCGTAGAGACGCTTCCAAAAGCAAGGCGAATCCGCCATCTCCGTTGCAGGCTATCCCAGCAGAGGCAGCGCAGCGACAGAAACGGCCAGTCCCTCTGCCACCATTGAGTAGACCGTTATCGAGCAGCAGCAAGGGCAATAACCAGACCCTTTCCGCGACCTCGGGGCAAGACGAAATAACCATTCTCGGCTCAAAGACCGCTTCGAGGGCGCCAGAGATCCTCGCTGAAACCCAACCTGTACCTTTTGATAATGCCGCGCAAAAGGCCAAGCTTGACGCTCTGTTTGTCGAATCAGACCAAGCTGCTAAGCAGGCTGAAACTGATAGGAGACGTGAACTTGACAGACAAGATCAGGCACATCTCAAGCGCGAGCGACAGCTTGAGCAAGAGCGGATTAAGAAGGCCGCCGAAATCAAGCGACGTGCCGATGACAGTCGCCAGAAGCAGGCCCAAGTCGAAGCAGAAGAGGCGGCACGGCGCGCTCACGAAAAACAGCTGCAAGATGCACTGCGCCGGAAGCATGAGGCGGAGGCCAAAGTCGTGGCTCAGAAAAAGGCAGCAGCTGAGAAACGTGAAGCGGAACGACGGGCTGAAGAGCAGAAGCGAGCGAAAGAGCAACCTCCTCAGCACTCTGTTTTCAGCGACGAGCAACAGCGAGCGCGAGATGAGCGTATTCGCAAACAGCAGGAACGCAACCGAAAAATGTGCACGCATGCTGATGATTCCACAATCGTTGTGGAAGATGATGAACCACACACAACGCAGCTTCAGCCCGGGTCTCTGGCACAACAAGCTCGTGAGGCACGGCAAATGGCCGCTCTCGACACCACACATGCTGATGTCGTCGATCCTGTTCAATTGCGTAGTCAATCTTCTCTAGCTCAATCATCTTTTGGAGACGTGAATGGGAGCAAAGCAGCGACTTCATTTGATCGACCTATGAGGCAAATACCCGGAACCAAGCAGTCACCGGTAAGCGGTTCCACAGACTTTCGCAGATCTTTAGGCGAGATCAGCTTTGACGATGGCAAGCTGCTCCATTGGCGAGATACAGATGGCAAGACATTCGAAGATATTGCGCGGCTCTATCAGACCTTGACTGGAAAAGCTCAAGATGAAGAATTCCTCAAACGCCGGATTAGTCTTGTCAAGAAAGCTTTAAAGCTCGCGAAGGTCTCCTGGAACCTCACCAACGAGTTGGCCAAGGGCAACGAAGATGCCAAAGCGCAGATCAATTCTCTCGTTCATGGTGACTCAGAGTTTCGACAGCCAGAGCCGCGGCCTACTCCTTTGGCACAACCTCAACCTCGAGGCCGTGATACCAGCCACCGGCGAGCTCTGGCGGACATTCTTCCTGAAGATGCCAAACTTGTTGCCTGGAAGGCTGCTGGCGACGATTGGACTCAAATAATCTCCAAATTTGAACAGTTTACCGGCAAATTGAGGTCCCAAGATACTTTACGCAAACGCTGTCGTCAGATCGAGAAAGCCATCGAATCTGCGAGGATCCGTGGTGATTTGATGGAACGGCTTGCCAATGGCGACAAAGCAGCACAGACCGAGATCAATACCCTCTGTGCAGAGAAAACGGGCACCTCATCCAAAGTCGGTCTCGCGCCTGGTTGGAAAGCCAATACATCTCGTCTGCCACCTGAGATCGCTCCTTTGGACGCTCAATTAGTGCGTTGGCGTGACAGTGGATCGGAGTGGCCTTCGATTAGAGAGTCTTGGAATGACGCTACAGGCCTGAGGGTTGCTGTCGACACTCTCAAAGGTCGGTATGAAGCTCTAAAAGAGGTCTTCCAGAATACATTGATTGACGATGAACTGCTGAATGACATGGTTCGAGGGGTCCCAGGAGCGAAAGAAGATGTGAACAAGCGGATATTCCGAGCAACAAACCCATCTTTGCCAAGATCTCCAGTCCGTAACGATTCAGCAATTGAACAGAGACCTCTTAGTCGGACAAATCGAATGGCGCGATCAGACTCGCATGGTGCAGAAACTCGTCCTAGCAATATGGCAGCAGAGCAGTTCAGATCGATCACCAGTATTCTGGACGCTTATGCAGACCACGAGGAGATCGAACGGCCCACCACAGGTGGAAAGACAATTGATGCCAACTTTTTGTGGCATGCCGCGCAGAATATGGCCCTTTCATACGAGGAAGCACTTGAAGAGGCCGATGAGTCTGAAACGGAATCCGAAGTCGATCCGGACGATCCAGAAGACTATGTCTACTACACCTACACACTGTACCGAAAAGACAAGTATTATACCGGCGAATCCGACGAGGACGAGGTCGAGGACGACGAGGACGAGGTCGAGGACGATGAGGACTCTGACTCGCAATGGATCCCTGTCAGCGCGCCTTTCGAAAGCCTGAAGAAGGCAAACGCAGCTGTTCAGGCGGAACTGCTCAAGGTCAACCCAAAAAGGCGACCAATTGTGAGTCTAGACAACATGAATCTCACGAGCGGTACGGACGAACGCGGACTGAAATGGGCCAAATTCATCAACGATCAGGTTGGCGAAGTCGAGGTCGCAGTCCATCGAACATTGCTCAACTACACCGACGGGAAGCTTCCACAAAGCAAAGTAGACTGGATTCCAAAGCACTTTTACAAAGTCATGGAGCGGCAAACCATCACAGAGAAATCCACGAGCTCGGTCCAGCGTGACCCAGGCGATGAACTTTTCGAAGAGGAATGTGTAGTGCACCACGAGAAGGTCTATAAGACAGAGCGCCAAAGACCAGATATGACGACTTCTCTTGAGCAGGCCAATAACTGGGCGGCTGATTACTTCGCCAAGACAACTATCTCACAGAAGGCAAACCTGAATGAGACAGACAAATTGCGGAAGGCCAAGACTGAAGGATTGCTTAGTGTCCTGGACGAAAATGAATTGTTCCGAGCAGAGGAACGAGACATTGATGGGAACAAGTTCGAGGTCTGGGTGGAGAAAGCGACCATGAGTGGACCGAGGAACATCTGAAGTATACATAGCACAATATGCATCACGAGAGTATGGCTATGGCCGTGGGAGGGATTTCTGTCGCAGATGCTTGCCGCGACGAGCATCTTTCGAAGTTAAGCGCTGGGATAGACATATGAGTGTGGCACTAGACTTCAGTATGCATTCTATGTCCTTGCTATTCAGTTTGCAAGCTTGGGTACCTTCAATATTTATCCCTTTCCGTTTCCTACCAATCCAACGCCGGGAGTACACAAGGCTTCATTTCCTTCCCTTCTTCGATTTCCTATTCGCGGCAAAAGCCTCCTCAGGCGGCTCATTCATCCCACCACCACCGCCATACTTCTGCTCAAGCCGATCCAAGAAATCTCCAGCACGATCCTGCTGCCTCTTCTGAATCATCGCCGCAAGATCCCCGAGATCAGCATCCTTACTCTTCTTCCCCTTCTTCCTCTTATTTGTCTCCTTCAGCTCCTCCTCTACCTCCTCAGCTTCCTTCGCCTCCCTCTCCTTCTGCTTCCTCGCCCTCTCCAACCTCTTCTGCCTAGCGCTCTCACTCTCTTGCGCATACTTCTTGTACTCCTCAACCTCCCCCTTCCCAATCGCCCCATCAATAATCTTCCGAAACCTCTCCTCATCCTCAAGCATATCACTCAATATAACCACCTCATAAAGCCTCACCATATCGCCCTTACACTTCTTGTACGCATCAAGCACAGCTTCCCTCTCCTCCTCACTACCCTTGTATTCTCGACTAAAAGCCGCAATCTTCTCCACAGTCACTACCTCGTGGAATTGCGCACGGAAGAATTCCACCCAATCGAAGTCGTCATCTTCTAGGTCTAGGGATTCTTCGGTGCGGCCTGTTGTGTCGTAGCGTTTGCGGCGACGCTCGTCGGAGAGGATGGCGAAGGCGAAGGCTATTTCTTGAAATTTTGTGTGTGCCGTTTCTTTTTCTTCTGGTGAGACTTTGTCGGGGTGATGCTGCAGGGCGGCTTTGCGGTAAGCGCGTTTTATGGTGTCTTGGTCGGCGTCTTTTGCGACATCGAGGACGGTGTAGGGGTTGATGGATGATGGGGCTGAGTCGACGGTGATGTCTTCTCCATCTTCTTCTGATTCTTTGCGGGAGCGCTTAGGCATTTTGATGGTCTTGGTATTGGTGCTGTGGTGTGTGTTAAAGTGATGGCGTTGGTGGTGGTGGTCGCGAATGAAACGCGTCGACGCGACTTCTGCGTGATGACGTGCTGCTTTCACATGCATAGGCACCTTCTCCCACCTCTGTTTACCCACAATTACCACTTTAATCGCCCCAGGCACACGCCAACATGCGATGAACAACGCGAGGTCAGGTGAAATCTACCCAGCCAAATACTACGATGCCTCACCCACGTGGTATAGATGGAACAAGCTCTCCGTTGCGGATGTCTTTCAGCTGCGACGAGAACCCGGATTCGAAGGCCAGAATATCTGGTTTTGGTTGAACCATCCCATGCAGTATGTCAGGCTTGTGGGCTTCATATGTCAAATCGATATGGTTGCCGGAGGAAGATATGTCCTCATGACCTTGGACGACAGCAGTGGTGCAAATATCGAGATCAAGCTGGAGCGAGAAGCGGGCAAGATATCAGAAAATGGATTCAAGGATTATCTTTCGATCACCGATTTGAACAATGTTCTGGTCACGGTTGCGATGGGTTTACCTCTCGTGACGCTTGATCGGAACATTCTCGAACTAGGCACGGTCGTGATAGCCGAAGGCGAGATTGGGAGCTACATGCAGAATCGACAGATGTTGCTGTCCCGCTTGCAAAGGGTGCCAGATACTCGAGCTGAGGCTCAGCATTGGGCTAAAGTGGCAGAGTGGAAACGATCGATTCTGTGCAAGCCATGGGTCCTGTCTGCGGAAAAGAGGCTGGAGCTTGATCAGAAGGCTATAAAGGAGGCGAAGGAGGAACTCAAGGACCAGAAGCATAGGAAGAAGAAGAACGCGAAGCGCGAAGTCTTGGGTGACCAGCGAGAGAAGAGGAGACAATTTGATGAGATGGAGATGAATCAAGGCGCCTTGCCGGGCAGTGAGATCTTGAAGATGCCTTGGGACGATTGAGCGGTACGGAGTGTTGTCTCGGGCCCCGGAAAAGAGGCTCCGCGCTCTCTATAAGTGCACGCGCACGCGATTTCTCTCTTGCCACATGCGGCGTTTGCAATGCAATGCTTCACATCATGAACCTTCACACTCAGCGACTTCGTGGTCCGTGCCACTTGGGCAGGAACCTTGTATGAAAGTTACTTCTAGACTCAAGAAGTGTCACTTACACCTCGACATCACGACATCATTTTCCAACCGCGGTGATCATGACACAAACGACGTCGCAAAAGTTCACAATACTCAATAGCTTCGCCAAGGACTTCTGGAAGCTCGAGGCGAAAGATGTTGACCATCAAACGCTGGCAGGAGTCAATCGCGACTTGCGTATACAGCGAGGTCTGATCGACTATTACAAATGCACCGTCGACGAGCTGCAACGCTTTTACCAGCAGCGCAATCTTACAATGCGATATGGCGACAGCGATGCACTTGACTCCGATCAGCTTATAGCCCGACTCCAGCATGCCGACGACCATGCCACTTTCGATAACTTTCTACACCTTCCTGCTGAGATTCGTGTCGAAATTTACGAGTTCCATATCAAGAGCCTGTCAACCACGAGAAAGATCTCCAGAGCTGCCCTGCGATACCGCCATTCCGGCACGAGAGAAGCTGAGTTCTCGAGTCGCGAGCGACCAACCATTCGTACACAGCCGCCAGTGACCAAAGTGTCGCGATTGGTGCGAAAGGAGTCATTGGCAGCATGGTACAGATGTGGCGACTTCGGCCTGGTGCTCTATGACCTGCCTCGGTTGTACAACTCAAATATTCCTACAGAAAGGCGTGTCTTGTACAGCGGCATGAAGACAACTCAAGAAACATGGAGGTTCTTCGCTCACTCTCCTTCGAATGTGATCGAATCCATTACAGCACTCACAATCGATATCGAGGGACCATTTTATAACCGAGATACTGAATCCCTCCCCTTTTGGCGCGACCAAAGCCCGCTGCGGTTTCGCATTGCAGATCTCCACAGCAAAGTTGAAATCGATTGTGATGTCGATGAGACGCAAGCACTGTCGAACATTATAACTTCCCACGCATCTATCAGAGGCATGTTTGGCTTTCGGCTCTCGGCTGACCTGGACGAAGAGGAGATGGCGTTGATGATCAGAGCGAGGCGAGAATACGTACAACTGAGAGCAGAATTCTTTCAGAAGGCGATGGCGATGAGGGACGACAAGCTGAAGCTCAGACGGAGCGACCTGGCCGATCTGGTGACTCTCTTCAATGAGCCTTTGGAGCTTTCTTGAGTGTGGTGTTAGAATAAGAGGTGTTTTGTTGGCTTGGATAGATGGAGTTGCTGAACCTCGAGGCTGGAGACAAGCTCACGGTATCAAGAGTTTAACTGGGGATCTGGATGGACTCTCGCTGTGGAAGTGGCGAACCCTTCAAGTTCTCTAACTCTGACCTCCACGATCATCGAGCTTTCCAGAAGAGTCGGCTTTAGATAAGACGAGAAGCTTCGCCAACCCCAAAAGCGATGGTGTGGATTTGGACATCGACAGGTGATGCTACTGTTTTGGACATGAATATTCTCTGAGACATGGATCCTTGCTGTTGCGCGAACGCTAGTCCTTCGGCTTGGTCAAGGCATATGTCGGTACGAATACACGCATAGTTATTGTCTCCCGTGCTTTTACATCTGTCCATGCTCTTTCTGACACATGCGCTTGGAGAGAGAAGCAGTTTGGCGACTGGGGTCTCATGTCAGACATCTGCTTTAAGACAAGAAAAAAAAATCAATTATGTGAACCAAAGAAGACAAAGTCGGAAAATGAAAGTTCAGCGTTGAATTAGTTATCGTGTGTCTCCCTCCCCCGACAAATGAGAGAACATAAGTCTTTCGAGCACTCATCAGAAGGAACAATCGCAATGGACAACACCGAAGCCACTGACACTGCCAAGTCCTCGATGACAAGCAAGCAAACTTCACCGCCTTGCTCTGGGAAGTCGCAGAAAACGACATCCACTGCGCAGACTAGTTATGATGGGGATCACCAGCCATCGGAATTAGATCCCGACGAAACAAAGCGACAATTTCCAGAAATCAAGCGTCAAGACAGGAACACGTTCGGGAGAGCTAAACCTTCACCGAGATCCAAATTTCTTCCCTCGATGAACCGCCATCTCTCAAAGCCATTCTTCAAAGTATCACGGATATGTGCTAAGGTTGCTTCCAAGCTGTTAGACCAGCCCGTAATAATCAAAGTGGGATTGCCTGAGTCAAGCTTCAGTACACGAGAGCCATCCGAACCGGGTAGCGGCGAGACCGCGACGGTAAGCAGCAAGTTCCACTCAATGCCAGGCGTTAGCAGAGCTGATGGAGAGCAGGAGCAAGATTCTACCGGTAGGAGAGGCTGGCTCGCACTTCAAAATTTAACCGACTTCAAACAAGAACTTGATAAGCGCGACAGCGACTTGAACGAGCGGGAAAGAAAGCTTGAAATCGCACGCCGTATAAGGGGTTCGCCCGCTAGCAAAAAGAGTGGACGTGCCAGGAATTGAACCTGGGACCTCTTCCAAGACCGTCTTGAAGATATCAAGAGCTTGCTAAGGAAGAATCATACCACTAGGCGATGTTAGCTGGGATACATGCATGTGAAATGCTCAGAGTGAAGCTTACCTAGACCACGCGCCCCAATTGGATGAACGACCTGCAATCAACACTGTGATAGTAAGCTAAGAACAAGGAGCTCAAATGGAACTAAAGCAAGGTATGTGAAGCTTGGTAAGCAAGGGGTGTTGATTGAATTTGAGATCAGAATTCCTTTCTGCTGCACGGGAAGTCGTTCGAAATATACACAACAAAAAATCCAAGTCGACGCAAGTTCCAGTTCCACTAGAGCTAGAAGAGTGGAAAATGCAGGAAGACGCGAAGCTACAGAGGCGCCAAGAGGAGTTGGACCAGTGGGCATCTGATATAAGGAATATGCAACAACGGCTTAAAGGGAGGGTTTATAAACTTGAAGATCGCGAGAGGAACGTGATGGTAGAGGAGGAGGCGGACCGTGAAAATTGGATTTCAAGTCAGATCCACAGTCTGCGATCAAGGCAGGAAGAATGAGCCTCCATGCTCCAATGAGATGCTAACAGATACACGTCCTTCTGCCAAATTGCAACGAGCCCACTCTGATACTGTCTCGAGCTTCCATCAATCCTATAATATCAAGTCCCTATTCGTGCAACCTCCATCACTGTAATAGGGATAAGTGTTCAGCTCATCGCCGACGAGAGGGGGTAGTTCTTGTTCGAGATCGTACTCTTGCTCGTCCACTACGATCCGGCTGGAATCGTCACTATCTGAATCAAAATCCATAGCTGAGCTGGGATATTTGAGCGTGATTTGATTGATACTGATCTTGTCGACATTTGCTTTCGTGGACTCTACGTAGCTGTCCCTTAAGATGTATCAAAGTTTTGATGACAAGAAGTGAACTTACAGAGCAAGAACAGTCACCAGGAAGGTCTTGGCGTTGAGCTTGTGCATTGACCACGCTTGGCAATCACAGGCAACTCTGCACTCCACACTTCACTTGCACTTGTCGATCTCTTCGCCGTTACCAACACATTGAAAGAATTCCACACAAGCGCCACACCTCTGACTCAAACACTCGACCTTTCGGGACCGCCTCTTCGACTTCCTTGTCTGCGGGCGAAAGCAAAAGACCAGCGAACAGACATTATGTCCAACAATGCTGCAGCTCGAGTCTTTGGCGTCGCAGAGCTGCTCGAAGCCATCCTCGACTTTCTTCCACCACCACCCTTCGGTGAGATATCGGATCCGCAGCTTTTCGTTCTCTAGCGCGTCGATCGGACCTTCCGCGACACCATCGCAGGCTCCCCGCGGCTGAGGAAGCGAATGATTGAGCTCGAGCCAGATAGGGTCAGAAGCTGGCTCTTCGAAGTAAACCAAGCAATTTGGATCGAACGAACACTCTCCACCATTCAAAAGGAGAATTCCAAGCTTATGCGCGTGTTCAGAGGAGAGTTTGTTGTGCGACGCTATTCTGACCTCGCCTCTCTTGATGGCATCAAAGCGATGGCAAAGAAGTCGACACAAGGGTCATGGCGACGAGTGAAGCTTGTTCAAGACTCTGCGATCTCTCCTGTGGTCGTTCTTAATCCTATGGTCACGAATTCCGACTTTTGGGCATTCGCTGAACCGGGAACTACGCTCGGAGAACTGCTGGATGGAGAATGGGTGGACGATGCGAAGAAGTTACTTCCTAAGACTTCGAAGGATGGAGTACATCTTGCTGTGGAGGACTGGACTGACTGATTCCGATGCGAATGGCGGGAGGAGCACGAGTGTGTCATGGGCTTGTCTGGCGTGGGCGATCTTGTTCTGGATCACTTGCCTGCCCAGAGAATGTCCGCTGCATCACGAGTCTTCGGCATTCCCGAATTGCTCGAAAACATTCTCGACCAGCTGCCACTACCATCGCCAGGCAGTGACTTGGAAGTCCGGGAAATATGGGGGACATTGCAAGATCTCGGCATGGAGTTCTGTCAACGTGACGTGCTTAGGTCGCCTGAGAGTAGGTGATGCATCGATGAATGTGGTAGCGTAGATTTGCCATGCTGGGGAAGACGTGTCAAAATTTCGGGTATTGAGAGCTTCGGAGATTTGCATGGTCTTTTGTTCGAGGTCTTTGATTATGGAGGCCCTGAGGTAGGAGGATGTTGGCTTTAGGGGTTTTGCTTGAAAGGCATGGAATGGCTCGTGTTCGGTTCTCATTCTAGGCTTTTCGTCGTCCATGGCGGTGCCGCTGAGACAGGGTGTTCGGCGGTGTCAGCAGGAACATCAGAGTTTGAATAAGGCGGAGATACGCGTATAGCGTTCCTGCATTGTAAGTCGGTGGTATCTTGGAAAGGAGGCTGGAGCGACTCTGAGCTGTTTTCACGGTGAGACATGTACGCTGTGCCGTGTGCAATCAAAAGCCGAGCCGGCATTCCCAAATTTGATTTGTCGATGTAGGAGAGGTGGATCGCTGCTGGCCTGGCCTGGGCCAAGCGTCGCACTCGCGTTTTGGAGCCGCGAAATTTCCGATATAGAGACATGTCGTGCGCATTTGCATTGTGAATGCTAATGCATACAATTTGCACAGCTGTCTCGACTCGGCCAGACGAAGGCTTTTTGATGCTCGATTTGTACCAACGGGCAACATGTCGATGGCGTCTTCTCGTGAATCGAAATGGCATGGGACAGAGAAAGGAGCAAGTCGTTGGGGTGGCATATGCAGCTTCTCATACTCTAGTACATCATCAGCAGCATCTCACATCAACTTTCCAGGCCTGTGTTCATGTCTCGGGCCCCAACTCCGTGCCATGCTCCTTTCTATGCATACAAGTCCAGTCCATATCCTCGTACGCCGTGTCTTCCCCATTTTCTATCCATGCCCTACGTGAGCTTCTGCTTGATGAAGAAGGCGCGCAGATAGCTTAGTTGCCATGCACATGTAATAGCAAGCACAGCGGTCTGGATCAGCGTCCATCTGACCACTCGGGAGTTGACCGCTTCGCTCTGATCTCGGAACTCTACTTCTCTTTCGCGTTGGAAGACCTGCTCACGCCTCACATCCTGCAATCTTGCCGTCAAGTCTTTGACCTTTTGTACCACTTCGCTGATCTTGCTCTTGTCGCTGCTCTCGATCTGGCTCGTCTCGCCGATGACAAGATCAAGCTCCATCTTGATACCGCCGACTTCGCTACCGAGGAGATTCCAACCTCTGTGGGAAGGCACGTTCGTGGGTGTGAAGCACATGCGGTGCTCGCCGGATTCCGTAGCAGTGAATGTAAACTTGCCGTCTGCTCGGCCACGCTGGGAGGCCACTCGGTGATATACGTTGTCGAAGAGCTCGTCAACGATTATGTGGATGCCCTGCCAACAAGAGATTAGAAGAGTGAGACTTGGCATTGGACTCTGGGCTTAGCGATACCATGTCATCGTTGGGCTGGTATGTTCGCGTGTTGTGATCGTATAGCGTCGCCTTGAAGTGACCTGTAATGAGAACATCAGTCAGCGCTCTTGGAGGCAAGCGATGCGATGCGATGCGATGCGCTCGATTCATGTCCAAAGCCATACCGACAACCAACGTGTGCTTTGGCAGGTCTTCGAAGAAGCATTTCTGCGACGATCCATCGATGTAGAAGTACAGCGCTTGTGTCTGAGCAAACAGCAGTGCTGCGCTCAGCATGCATGATATCGACCACATCATTGCGACTGGGCTGTGTGGTGGTTGCACTGGCGATTCTTCTCCCTGCGATTGAAGACACGACACGCTGGAAAGCAAAGTTAGGGGTCTCCCTGGACCGCCAAGACATCACGGATTCAAGCTAAGTTGCTGAACCAACTTTTCAACCACAGCTCCTGAACCGACTTTCCTCTCATTCACCCACCACCCAGCACAGCAAACTCATCACAAGCATCCGCCTCCGCCCTTTTGCGTGCCATACTTCAGCTGCATGCCCACATGAAACTTTCCGCGTCGCAGAGCTCGAATATTCCGACATGTATCCCCCAACCGGTCAGCGTGATTGGCCACTCATATGCTGCGCCCATGAGGCCAAACCTGATTGAGCCGTGTACATCGGCGGCCTCACGGTGTCTCGTCGCTAGGCAGCATATGCAGGAAAGTAGGTGTTGCTGCCTCCAGTCACGTGTGGCACAGCAACATATATATCTCTCTCTTATATTCCCTTACATCTTCATAGCCTCCAAGCATCAAATACTTCTTGCTTTCATGCTTTAGCTCCGTCGCAGCATCATGGGCGAATACAACGCAGAAACTACCAGACATGGCTCTGCCTATCAAGGCTATATCTCAAGCTACTCTGTCAACCGCAATTACCCGGAGCTGCAAGTCTACGAGGCTCTTCGCCTTACTCACGGAGACTACCACATCACAACTGTCGCTGACAGGAGCGCCGATCTGATCGCTTACGCAGAAGCTGGCTACGCGAAAGCGAATCTGGTTCGCGAAGGAGACAACTTCTTCAGCGTTCGATCGTACGCGCCTCCAGCAACCCGGCTCGAGGGCGGAGATGGTAACATCGGCGAGGAAATTCGCTTCGGCTTATTCAAGTACTGCTTCGAGGGTGAATGGCTTGACATCTATCAAGCTGACTGGTATCCGTACCAAGGCGCTGGAGACACGGTTAGCTACTGCTATGTACTGACGCCGAAGTCATCACTCGGTGATGCTGAGGTGCATTCACCTGTAGCAGATCGCCTGATCACTGCTGCTGGAAAGTGGTCTTCTGTCCTCCACAAGGAGGTCTATGTGTTCGATTCTGGCTACTGGACTAAGTCGAAGACGCTTTGGACTGCTGTTCAATCATCCTCTTGGGACGATGTCATTCTTGATCCAGCAATGAAGGAGACCCTCATCAAAGACGTGGAGGGTTTCTTCGACTCACGGGAGACATACGAAGAATACGGTGTCTCCTGGAAGAGGGGCATTATCATGCACGGCACTCCTGGCTGCGGCAAGACGATTTCCATCAAGGCACTTATGAACTCACTGCAGTCTCGCAATGTCGCGTCTCTTTACGTCAAATCATTCAAGGCCTGTCAGGGCGAGCAATACTCTATTCGCGCCATATTTCAGAAAGCACGCATCATGTCTCCCTGCATGCTCATATTTGAGGATCTGGATAGTCTTGTCGTCGACAAAGTTCGTTCCTACTTCCTAAACGAGGTGGACGGACTGGAGAACAATGATGGCATCCTAATGATCGGCTCCACCAATCATCTCGAGCGTCTTGATCCAGGAATCAGCAAGCGGCCCTCCCGCTTCGATCGCAAATACCACTATCGTCTACCGGGTGAGAAGGAGAGACTTCTTTACTCCGCTTACTGGAAGAAGAAGCTTTCCAAGAACGACAAGATTGACTTCCACGACGATGTTCCTGCTGTGATATCCAAACTTACCGAAGGGTTCAGCTTTGCGTATATGAAGGAGCTATTCGTCCAGACCTTACTCACCATCGTCAGTGGTCGCGCTGAAGTCGAAGACGAGGACGACGAGTATGATCACGTTGCAGAAGCCGAAAAGGAAAGCCAAGCCTTCGAGGCCGATGTCGACGTAAAAGGCGACAGAGGGCAAGCTGATGAAGCGGACTCTGACGATAAGAAGGAGCAAAAGAAAGGGGAGACAAAGAAGAAGACCAAGAAGCCCAAGCGACCCATTTCCGAGATTACCGTTCCATCTCACCTGGAATCAAACGTATTTCTCAAAGTCTTGCAAAGACAGGCCAAGCTGCTGTGGAGAGAAATGGACAACTCTGAAGACGATGAGGTGCATGGAAAGAAAAAGGCTGCTGGACCTTCAAATGCAGAGAACGATAACAGTCTGAGTGACGACGAGGAAAGTGATTGTGGGTGCTAGATGATCAATAGAAGTGAAAGCAAGCTGGCGTCGTGACTTGACGCCAGGACAATATCTATTAAGATACCTAAGAGGTGCCTCTAAGTTGCCATCCACAAATATCGTGCCCAAGTTCTGCGTCGGAGCATCGTTCGCGTACTGCAAATTCTGGGCATCTCTATCGCCATAGGTGTACACGTCCAAAGTCTTGCTGGTCCAGTTGCTTGTAATGCCTGCCGATCCAAAGCATGTGTCCAGGTGGTCGCCGTTTCGTCGTAAGGTGAAGCTGGTCAAGCTGGCTTTGAGTCCGTCACATGCACCGGGACCTGCTTAGCTACCTATGCGACACCTAGACTTCGAGCACTGCTTCGGTCATCGCTCCCATGTCGCTCCTCAGGGCAGGGCAGGGTTCTGCGCGGTCGCTGCCCCGTTTAGCTTCTTTGGAAGGAAGATACGCCTACCAAGTCCGCTTGCGGATGAGACGACACGAATACAACGACACCACGAAGGATCTCCACTCGGGCAATTCCGCTGCGGCTGCTTATTGGGGCAACCATACCGTGTTTACAAGAATCTGAGCAAGTCGCACTTTTCTGCTGATGTCGCTATACCAGCAACCACCGACACATCATAACATCAAATACAGTTCTTACTCACTAGGATGTTGGAAATGACCTCTAGGCTCTTCGATACATGCGCTCGGATATATCGCGACAGCCCTTACCCAAGTGCATTCAGTATTCTTGCACTCGTCAGTGGCCTTGCGTATTGGACACGAAGCGCCAATATCGACAACAAAGAGAGGCTCGATTCCGTTAGAAAAGCTGTCAACGAGCCTTCTAAGCGCTTCAAAACAGATACCTCAAGCTCCAAAACAATCACTCTTCCGGATGGACGAAAGCTAGGCTACGCGGAATATGGCCTTCCAAATGGCCGACCGCTCTTCAACCTTCATGGGCTTCCAGGCTCTCGAATTGAATCTGCGGCCCTCGAACCGATTGCCCTCAAGCTAGGTCTTCGTGTCATTGGCGTAGATAGACCTGGCTATGGGATGAGCTCTCCACATCCAAATTATACACTCCTCGATCATCCAAAAGATCTGGTCCACCTTTCCGAGCATCTCGGCCTGGAAGAGTATGCCGTTCTCGGGACATCAGGCGGCGGTCCATATGCTCTTGCTTGCGCTTACGCATTGCCATCCGACAAGCTAAAAGCTGTAGCGGTGGTATGCGGTATGGGAGCGCCAGATATGAGCAAAAAAGGCATGAACTTCATGCATTGGGCAGGCTTCTCTTTCGGCTACCTCTACTTTCCCTGGATCTGCCGACTCTACATGAACCGCGAACCGCAAGCACGCCTTGATCTCCCACGAGAAGAGCGAGCCGAACGCATTGCTAGAGTTCTTCTACAAGCAGGAAATCATCCCAAGGATCTTAAAGTATTCGAGAGTGACTATGCCGAAGATATCATTCGACTTCTGATCCTGAATCACGAAGCTTCATATGGTGGACAAGGTGTTGATGCTATAGTACAGGACGGCGCGACCATGTGCTCCGACTGGGGGTTTAAGCTGGAAGATATCCGAAAAGATCTGCCTGTGCATTTGTGGTACGGGAAATACGATGTGATTTGTCCTCCGATCCATGGCGCGATCACGGGAAAAAGGATTGGGGACAATGCGGTGCTGCATTTGGAGGACGAGACGCATGGAAGTATTACGTTTAATTTGACTTGGGGCGGCGCAAACGGAGATCGTGCGAGTGTCTTACAAGAATTATTTAAGAGTGCAGGTTGGGAATAAACTGGTTTGAATGCGGAATGGAACTCTCTACTTCGATTATATGCTTGGGACTTATCACTTGCCTTGACCGACCAGCGATCAAAACAACTCTCAGTCTTCAACCTTCGGCAGAAAATGTTGCTCAACTCCGCTCATCTTCACCTCCAGCTCTCGACTCCGACCCAAGATCTGATCCAAAGAGACATAGACATTTTGAAGTTGCTCGAAAGCTTTATCGAGAAAGCCATTATTAAGCTGAATCTCGATATCCATGAGGGAAGATGCTATAGTCTCCGTGATCTCGAAGCCTTGCATTACATTAGCAGAGATCATATCGCGAACTCTCTCCGGGAGATGCATGTATCGATGGAATAGGCTACGTTGTAGCCGACTTGCCTCTTCCCATGATGCGAATAAGTGTTCGCAAGCTTTAGTGGCGCCTTGTAAAGATCGGTCGAAGACTGGCTCAGCCGGTCGATGGACCTGTGATAGTAGTGTATTAGAGTGAGTCGATGGAGTTGTCAGGCGAGAATCTGGTTCGATCTTACGCTTCTTGGATGGTCGAGGATCACATGTATCTGGCTCGGGCGTAGGTTGGTCTCTCAATGCTAGATTCCTCATGAGCCACAACATCTCAGAGAGGTTGTGTGACATCTTGAGAATTGAGCAAAGTATGGGGATCTGAGGGATCTTACGCGGTGATTCTTGCATTTAAATAGGAGGATACGAAACGATAAGGACAATAGCATTGTTTCACCAAATGAACAAAGCGGTTCTATCTCACAAAGCATTGTCGCCTGATCGTACGGCGTTTACATTCTTTGTGTACGGGTGAATGCGATCTGCCTGGCTTGTTTTTCGAATGCCAGACTTCTACAGATCTCACAGATTGATGAGCGCGAGAATCTGTCTCCGCGAGGGGAGGCCACGGATCTGCTCCAACTCACAGAAGTCCCTGGTGCGACCGACTTCGCAAATGCATCGAACGCAGTCAGATCTTCTCTCTCGTCGGGTTGATGACCTCTTTGAACTAGAGTCTTGAGCTCAGTCTCAATGCATATGCTTGTGACAATCTCAGCCCAGCTTTTCCACCCACTTGGACGACTTGTCGAGACTCGCGAAAGTCGTGCTGGTGCTCCAGCTTGTGAATGTGTTAGCAACGTGTCACAAGAACTATAAACGCAGAGCATAAGCACGAAGTAATATGGCAGGACCTGTCAGCTGACATGTTGTTACCGAGATAGTCGACGAGGTTGCTCAGGAGGTTACTGGCAAACAACAAAAAGTGTAATGTGAAAAATTGTGGTTTCTGTGAACAGTGGCGAGGCCTCAAAAGAGGCTAAGATCTAATATGCTCTGTTATTGGCATCGCTTATGTACATTTATACAGTTCTAAATCCGCTTTCCAAACCCAACCCAATGCAAATAGCGTCAATCATTCAAAGCTTGGGGCTTGACTTAAGTATATCAGCGTAAGGACCATTACCGCCCTCTCTGAACAGCACAGGGCTGTTCGGGTATGGATCCACAATCTTCTTATTCAATGGGTTCAGCTCCGCAGCGCGATAGAACATGTCCTCGTATACCTTCCCGTCATATCTTCCAAGAGAACTGTTGAGCTGCCAATCTGGGAAGTCCCAAGAGTCAACAAGGCGGACAGCGTGGGGTCGTATCTCCTCGAGCAACTGCATCACGGTCTTCGATCTTGCGAGACGGATCTGTGCGACTGTGCATGCGGAGCTGGTAAAGAACTCGCTAGACTCCGACACGAGGGTGTTCAGGGAGTACAGACGGAAGAGCTTGTGCATCAGGCCAAGGGTCTCTGGATCGAGTTCACTGCTGATGGAGTGCGAGTGAATAGTCTCGTAGAAATTCTTCACCACAAGGTATTGCGAATGTGCGCGAGAAAGGTTGTAGAATGCAACGAGCAGAGAGTTCCAAGACTTCTTTTCCTGGTCACGAGCGCGGAGCGCTTCGAAGGTGAAGTATGCTGATCGCCATGCAAAGGCAGCGACAATATCACTGTCCTTGCCGAGGACGTCGAAAGCAGCGCCTGTATCCTGGCGCTTGAGGTAAAAGTGCAGGATCTCGGTTGTGTCGTTGGTAGGGTCGTTGCCCTTCAGCACTGTCCTTGCGGACTTAAGCAGGTATCGAGCGACTTGCTGGGTCAACATGTAGTTGTCACCCTCCCATGTGACCGTTGGCAGGTAGTCAGCATACCAGCTGCCAACGCCAGAGAAAGCACTATATCCGTGGCCTCCCATGGCTCTGCGGCAGACCTCAAGGCCTTCGGCGGCAGTGGTGGAGCACAAAGACTTCAATCCACATGACGTGCCGTGGAGATCGGCGAGGAGATCTGAGCCTGCATTGACTTCCTCAGGACCAGCACTGCGCTTCGATGGCGAGTCGTCAGTATTTGACGGTCTACTTTGCATCTTGCTCTGATTTGCTTCGTAAAGCTCCATCATGCTCTTGCCAGTGAAGTGAAGCGCGAAGGTGGCAGCCAGAAGTGGCAGTAATCTTGCTTGGACCATTGTGTAGTTGAGTGTCTGGTTCTCGCCTTTCTGTCCTGCAGGTGCATCGCGATCCTGGAATTGGCGACGAACAGCCAGGTATCTCGTAGCGATGGTAACACCACGAGCGAGAGTGCTTCCGGACTGAAGAACGATGGTGCTGCGAACCCAAGTGAGGGTACCGTAAACCAGAGCCGGTGAAGCTGGCTTGAGGTACTTGCTGGTCTTCGGGTCGACAGCAGAGAACTTGGCCAACATGGCATCATGTGGGACCTTGACGTTGTTGAACAAAAGGAAACCATTGTCCATGGTGTTGTAGCCGAACTTGGGGCCAATATCGCCAGCGTAAACGTTCTCAAGCAGCTTGTGTGTCTTCAGATCCCGAATGGGCACGATGAAAGGGTGTGGTCCATACGGTCTACCCTTGATGATGAGCTGTGCCATGACGCAAGCGTGGTTGGCCGTTCGTCCAAGGGATCCAATCCACCATTTTGAAGCAGTGAGATGAGGCGAGTGAATTGTGAAAGTCTTGTCATCCTCGTTCCAGGTGGCAGTCGTCTCAAGGCCTCGCACATTTGATCCGTGGCCCAGTTCTGTCTGAGCGTAGCATCCGATATGCTCGTGTGCCACTGCAGGCACAAGATACTTTTTGTGCTGTTCTGGAGTTCCCTGGCCTCTGATGGTGACGATGTACATGCCCTCGTGCAAAGCATAAGGCAGTGGCTCGCTGATCAAATCGTAGGCCACTCTCTTGTCAAGGTCTCCCCAACCATACTTGGTATAGATCTGGTTCATTCTCTTCGCTCTGGCGAGAGCCTTCTCCCACTTGTCGACGCGTCCATCGAAATAGTCCTGGTCCTTGTTGAAGACCTTCTCAGCTTGTAGAACCTTCAAGACCTTCTCCTTCCGCTCGAGAGCCTCCTTTCCAAACATAAACTGACTCAGCTTCTCGACATTGACGCTCGATTGTTTGCGCTCGTTCGCCAGCAGCTCGGTGCCCTGGGGACCTGAGGGCTTTAGTTTGCGGACCCAATCGGGCACAGGAGCAGCGGTCTGAGACATTGCGATGGTGGAGCAAAGACTGTGATGGAACAATGAAGCGGCCAAACTGCTCAGAATGAAGGACGGGATGGAAGCGAAAGATATACTCTTACAATGACGGGCATGACTACCCTCGGTGTGCTCGGAGTACGAGGCATCCCAAGGTCTGTGGCTATGAGCCGATGTCGTTGCGAGAAAGGGCAGCCTCGGTTCAGAATTTCAATGAAGTCATTGGCTGAAGTGAATGAATATGGGTCCGGCAAGATCCGAGGAGGGCCTCGAGAACGAGCTTCACCTAACCAGCCGAGTGCCTCAGGCGCTGAAGTCACATACGACCAAAATTTTCGTCGGCATTTTATGTGCTTGTGGTCAGCGAGGGCGATTGAAGAATTCCCGAGAGAAAGCTAAAGCCGAATTCAGTATTCTACCTAGGTAATGACGCCGATGCTCTAGAAGGCTTCTTTTTTTCAGGGATCGTAGCGTAGAATAGCGTTGGGTGGCTGAACTTGGCACGAAGCGGTTGACGAACTTCGTTCTTTGTTCCTACCCAACAAGTGTACAGTTGCTGCTTCTTTCACGCTGGGAACGACCAGTCTGACCACAATGCCCGTCCCCTGTACAATGCCACACCAGACCAGGAAGAATTCTTCAATAGTTCGAATGCCCCAGCAACGTCAGGCCTAGAACGCCACAGAGAGTCATGCGGCATGGCATGGCCCCTCACCCTCACCTGTACCAATACCTCTACCCGCCCACTACTGATATTCGCACAGCTATTGCGAAGGGCGTAGTGGTCAGCGGTGATGCTCTCGGTCGTATTGTGCTCCTCTACTCGTGTGTCACCTTCGCATCTGCACTTACACTTCACTTCCACTCTCACACTGCAGTCTTAACCTTGCCATAACTATACAGCAGCCATGGCGCAAGACAAGACCAGTGCCGAGCACAACGAAGGCATCAATCCTGCTCATGAAGCACTCCTTACCGGAGCAATTGCTCTAGCCAGTCTCTTCAGCACCTGCGTCGAAGCATTCGGGCTCATCCATCCTTCACACAAATGGGACAAGGACGAGCAGCTGCTCTTGACCCGTCTGGGTCTCCAGCAGGCAAGACTACTGATATGGGGTGCTGTAGTTGGCGTCTCCTCGCCACCTGCTGCTGTAACAAATCGCGCAGTCCCAAGACACCCAAGCGCAGCATATCCAGACCTCAAGGAGCCTACCTTCTTCGACACGCGCGACCCTAGACTTGACGATCCAGAGATCAGGACGACCATCGAGCAGACCCTCAGCGCGATAGTCGATCGCTCATCTGCACACTCGCGGGAGGAGATGATGGCAAAATTCGGACTGAAGCCACCGAAACGGCTCGGAGGTGGCTTGCCAGAGCCAGCGATGGATTCGACCAGATTGGAGGCTTTCAGAGAGAAATATGAGCTGCTACGAGAAGTCGCAGAGAGCTATGCTCGTATCAATACACGGAGGAACAATTCTCTCATCCACACGTCCTGGCAAATCGCCGACGTGACCAAGTTCGGCGTCTTCATTCAGCTCACGCAAGAGAAAGTTGATTACTTGATCGAGCTATTGAACGTAAAGGAGCAGATAGATCGTGCGATGCGCATGGATATCAGGATATTTGGTTGGCACATCATTCCAGACCGGCAGAGATCTGCCATGGACATCTCGAAGCTCCGGCTTCTCCAGGAAATCTGCCAAGCAGACTACCCTGAATATCTTGTTGCAACGCAACAAGCTCTGGACAATATCAGTCGTGAAGCGCGTGAAAATGCCATGACTTACACGGGATTGAGCAAACAGCAGCAAGACTTCATCAACCCAGACGGTGCCACGCCCAAGGCCACCAACGGACAGCAACACCACAATAAAAAGCGACCCGGTCTACTCAAGCTCTTCAAATCCTTTGGAAAATCATCCAAGACACCTGTACACAGCCGCTCAGTCTCAGGACCTTCGTTATCAGCCGAAGACATTGATCCGCCGCGAGCCATGTCTGACGTCGGTCCTGCCATGACGAGAATTCGTTCCAAGTCCGTTGGAGCCGAACTTGACATTCACGGAGAATTGGACGAAGATCTCAGAAATAGGCTGGAGCAGATGACAACCCACACATCAGAGCCTCCACCTGACTCTAAATATCTGGCAATCGACTCGCCCGTTGAGCCGTCATTTCAACCCATTGTTCCGCTCGTGAACAAACCTGTTCAGGCGGGAATAATTCGGCACGACCAATATCAGGGCATTGGGCGTGTGGAGACGAAGGATCTTCATCAGGCTGACTATTAGCGATAATTTCACGAGGAGGAGAAATCATTTTGCGCAATATACCCATTCTCTGGTTACATAAGGGCGTTGATGTGACTTGTGTTGAGATTTATCGTCTTGAAAATATTCGTTTCGTCTAGCTTTCCGGCATTTTCATTCCTAACATGTCCTTCTGAGCGACGAGTGCGTAGCCTGTGACTAAGCCGTATAGGCTCAATTCTTTCTTCCTCAGTAGTCCAGCTGATCCTTGACATTGGCGTACCCTCCAACGCTAGTAGCCGCCGTCGACATGTTCACCTTCGTGATGGTTGTTTTCTGCTTTGCCTGGATAGTGTTCTCGGCCTGCCATTGTGCTCTGCAGTACGGACAAGTAACGGGATTCTTGGCTCTCTCCCACTGCTGGAAGCAAGCAACGTGAAGATTATTGCCACAAGCTGCTCGGCACCACGTCAGATCGTCGCTTTCTTCAAAGCCTTCAAAACAGATGGGACATTCTCCGGTAGCTTCTTTGCGGTTGCCATCTTTCACGGTCTCTTCCGCAATCTCAGATGGAAGGCGCGGAGCGTGGGCGAAGAGCTCCTTCAGCTCTCGAGTCAAGAGAGCTTGCTGGTATTTGAGATGCTCGGGTGCCTTTAGGATTTTGTGCAGGACGTAGATGATGTGCTTGCAGACTGATTCTTCGCCTTTCTTTTGCCAGATGGATACCTGAAAACAATGTCAGTGACTAGACTCCGAAGAAGCTGAGATTGCAAGTGAGGAGCGTACCGGGCAGTTGCAGGTCATGAGATGAGAAATTGTCACCGTGTAGACATTCCCCTTCGAACCAGCGACGCTTAGTGTCTCACAAGGACAATCTTCGATGTTGGTGTAGCAGTCATTGTGGACTTCGCGCACTCGGTCAAGTACGAACATTTTCTCCTTGTCGACCTTTTTGAGAGCGCTCAAGTATTTTTCTGTGAGGTCGTCTTCGTCTTCGACGTAGCTGCACGACAATCAGTTTCGAGAGCCATGGCCGACTTCAAAGCTCGCTTACTCTAAGAGGCGATGCTCCTTCTCGCCTTGCTGCAACTTGTCAATGTCGTTTAGGCGTGCTGCAATACGCTTTTCAGCAACTTCTGCATGCCAAGTCGCTTTGGCGGTGGACTTCTTGCTAGACTTCTTCGAAGACTGCTTCCTCTGCTCTTTGGTAGGGCGTTCATCGCTCGAGTCTGCAGAGTGTACGACAACATCTGCTTCGTCTTCATCTTCACTGTCGTCGATGCGCAAGGTGTTCAGTTGCTTTCTTTTGCGTGGTGCAGAGTCGGCAGCCTGCTCAGCCTGTTCGTGCTTGTAGAACTTGACTTGCATGCGTGCCCGCGTGGAGCGTCTGAGTTCTCCGGCCGCCATTTGATGTGCACAGAATGCAAAGAGAGACTGGATGGAAAGTTATTGCCAAAGGCGATCAATTCGAGTTTTGCGGTAGTGAGACTGCGAAAGGCAGCTGCGGCACGACAGGCACCTTCCCAGGCAGATGCCCCAATTCGCGTGCTTGCACGACACTCACAACCTGGAATATTTCCCAGTACCGTCTCCCTCCTTGCCGCGCGGTATAGGATCTGTCCCGCCATGTAGCAATTTCAGATTCCGTTGTGGTAATCATATCCTTTTCAATGGCTTGAGTTGAGTTGCAGACATCTCGTCCAGTTCGATGAAAATGGGTATATAAAGCTTCATAGTAAATACAATGCTGCGATCAAGTAACGCTTTTGCGGCGAGACATCTCTACGTCTCCAGCCAGTCCAAAAATTCTGGTGTGAAGTAACTCACGATGATCGTGGCTCCTGCCCTCAGAATGCCTTCAGTGGCTTCGAAAGCCATGGTCTTCAAATCGAACACACCGGCCTTCGCCGCAGCGTGAATCATGGCATACTCTCCACTGACGTGATATGCGGCGACTGGCAAATCCTTTCCGATTTCCTTCGCGTCTGAGATGATGTCCAGGTATTGCGTCGCGGGCTTCACCATGATGATGTCCGCGCCTTCTGCAATGTCTCGGTGGATGGCTCTCCGAGCAAGTCCGCGTCCACCTGGGGGGAGTTGGTAACACCGTCTGTCGCCAAAGCTGGGACACGAGCCTGCAGCATCTCTGAAAGGCCCATACAAGCACCCGCTGAACTTCGCAGAATAGGACATGAGCACGATGCGGTGGGCAATGCCAGCCTCGATCAGCTTCAGCTTGATTGCTCGAATACGGCCGTCATTCATGTCCGATGGCGCAATACAGTGTGCACCTGCCTCTGCATACGCCATGGCAACGTCAGAGATGCGGTCCACTGACGTTGCATTGTTCAGCGTGCCATCCTCGTGCAAAATGCCGCAGTGGCCGTGTGATGTGTATTCGCAAAGGCAGACGTCGCAGACAATGAAGAGATGCGGGAAGGCTCGTCGCAGGAGTTTGATGCCAGCAATGACAGGACCTTCTGGGTCATCAGCGGCGGTACCGAGAGGATCTTTCGCGGACGGCGCAAGTGGGACACCAAACAGGATAACACTCTTGAGTCCCTTTGCGACCAAAGGCGTCAGAAACGGGACTATCCTGTTCAGACCCATGCGCTTCTGGCCCGGCAGACTGGGAATCGAGGTCTCCTCGTTTGGATTGTCCGTGATGAAGAGTGGATAGATCAGCATGCTCTTCGTCAATTGTCGCTCTGCCTGCCATGCTCTTGCTAGTGGGTGTGAATAGCCGCCGTGAAGCTGACTAGAAATGTCGCCACTAATGCTCACGCTCGTGGCTGCTGTCGAGGCGTATGATTTCGCGCGCGAATAGGTCGACCGGTTGTCGCGAGTATCGTATGAGGCATTGGTGTTGGTGGATTGCAGTCGCGGCCGCTGGGCGACGTCGTTGATCAGGTTCGAAAACGACATATTTGCGTTGGTGTGTTGTGAGAGTCCTGCGTTCCTCAGACCTGAGTCTCGACTGCCCCTCTTATGTGAGCCCAACTTTCCTCGACGGGACCGAGGCCGATGCGAGGTTGGCGGAGCTGAATGGTGTAGTTGTACAAAGTGACGAGTTGAGGAAGGCGAGGATGTGGGGATGCGAAGCGGAATGGCGACTTCAGGTTTGTTGTACACCTCGGGATATTCTACTTCGGGCTGATTATTGGCAACGAATTGGGAGCGAGGCTTTACATTTGAGGTCAGCATTTCAGCCTCCGATCATGTCCGATGAGTCCGATGTCAATCCTTCCGCACTACGCGCCCGCTCTTCTCTACTCTTCCGCTTCATCTCCATCAACGCGATTGACGCGCAAACATCCTCGAATCCTCCATATTGCAATCAAACAGGCGCTCAAAAGAGCCCTGGATGAGGAGCTTCTGACAGCCGCATTTCCAGCACCTGCATGAGCTGCTAGGATCCCTTCCAAACAAGTACTGGAGTGCCCTGATGATGAAGGCTGACACTGAGGCCCTGACAAGGCCATGCCGCATGTCCAATCACACCTCTCAGTAAGGCACCATGCTTACACACATCTCATCTGATAATAGAATCTTCGACCACTACCTGGCAAAACGACGCTCATTGTGGTTGGTACCAAGCTCTTCCACCTTGCGGGTTGCCGCTATTCCGTCTTGGCCTAGCAGTGCTCTTGCTCTATCTCTACTCAGACTAGTAACAAAGGGTGTTCGTGTATGTAATATAGAATCACGTGTTCCGTAGCAGACTTTTCTAAACCCGCAAGTAAACTTTCTAACCTCTATACTAATTAAATAAACTCCCGTATAGACTATATAATATCCTTTGTTACTAGTCTAATCCGTTTCTATCGGGTTTTAGTACGCGTATATAGATAATCGTAGTAGTAGGTAGATGCTATTAGCTATAATACTATTATATATCGGAAATCGCAAAATCCGCTATAGTAAAGCCCTATATAGTTACGAAAACTATCTACCCTAAAAATCTAAAGAACTTAGGTCTACTACTTACTAGGGAAAATCTATATATACGCGAAAATCGAATATCGCTTGCTATATTAAAGCTAGACGCGTCTACCCTACTACGACCGTAGATCGATAAACTAACTCTATAACAATCGAAACAATATCCGCGGTAGGTAAATATAATACTACGAAGAAGCTCCTATAACTCTTATCTACCCCCGATACTATCCCGTCTAGCGCTCGTAGTCCTCCCGCCTAATATTATCGGCTAGGTATCGTAGCTCCGAGTTAGTAAGAGATGCGTTTAGAATACCGTAATACTCGAGCCGGTTTTAACGCCGCGAGTAGGGTAGGCTCTACGCGTTGCGGGTTAGAGAAGGGCCGCGACTAGAGGGCAATTTATAAGAGCTAAATCGGGAAAATTAGCTCGGAGAATCTAGAATAGTTTCTAGCTAGGTAAGCTCTAGAAGTCCGCTACGCTATAGAGCATTCCTATAGAGCTTTCTACGAGAGTCGTATATACCGATCTACGGGAGATTATTCGATTTATAGTTAATCGAATCTATAACTATACTCTTAAATCTATTCGCGCGATAGTTTATACCGTCGACTATACCGATTTAGTCGACCTCTAATTCGATATTATCGAAGCTAGAATAAGATAGATATTAAATCGATTATATAAACTATCTAAATAGCGGCCTAAGAAAAAGCCGTATCGGATCTAGGTTACTATACTACGGGCCTTGATTTACTAGCGATAGGATATCCTATTTGTCGTAAAGACTAGTTTAGGTAAGAGCCTAATCTTCTAGGCTTTTACTATACTTACTAGATAGACTGCTATCTAGTTAGTGCCTCTTACTCGGCTCGGGGCGGAGTAAGAAGCGGACTTAAAGAAGATCGTAGAGGAATACGTTAATCCCGTACTAGTTACGAGTAAGGCTAAGCGGCGGGATCTAGATTTGTTTACTAAAATTAGGGCGGGCTAGTACGATTATATTATTCTAGGCCCGGAGCAGGCCGTATCCGACGACTTTAAAGATACCCTAAAGGATCCGAATCTTTCCTTACATATCGGGCTAGTCGTATTCGATAAAATTTATCTCCTCTCGAAATAGGCTAGCTTCCGCGAGGAATTCCTTATAGTCGCGTAGCTTAGGTAGCTTCTCCGCTAGGACTGTATATAGTTTAGCTATACTAGAACCCTAGATACTATAACCTAAGCCTATATATTGAATTATAGCGGGTTTAGACCGGTCGGGTACGAGCTATATTATTCTATAGTACTACGGACTAGCATCGATTGCGTTAACTATACGTATATCTTTAAAGAGTTAGATAAAAATACGAAGTCGGTCTATAGCTAGTTGTATTTTATAATCGAAAAGGCCGTAAGCCCCGCGGGCTCGCCTCTACCCGCTACGGGCTCGAATTTGTTTACTACTACGCTAGCTAATACGGGCGAAGCCTAGTCCGTAGCGGAGCAACGGGCTACGCTAGCGGAGATACTAAAGACTATTATCTTTATCGATAGTCGCCTAGACGTAATCGCGCTTATAAATCGCGTTCGAGCCTAGCTAGTACTTCGGACTAAGGACCTATGTCGAGAAAACTAGTATTATTAGGGAAATAGGTCTAATCCTATACTAAACGTTCTTAGAATTATCTAATTCTATATATCCGCTATGCCTATATACGATTAGGACCTGCGGTTTCGTAAGTTTAGCGTAGCGGATAGCACTATCTGTATTATAATTGCTACTACCGCCCTTAGCGTAGGTATTAACATCCGCATAGTGCAAATCGTTATCTAGTAGGGTCTTATATTAGAGTATAACTATCTAAATCTTCGCTAGCGTCTCGGGCGTACTAGTCGGAATATAGTTCCGAGTAATCTTCGTAGCGAGGTATTTATATTCTAGCTAGCGTAGATAAGGAATATAAAAAAACGGCTTAGGGATTAGCCGGTAGAGGGTAGTAAGGTCTATAGCGGACCTCGCGTCGCCCGTAAGGGCAAGTTCTAGACGTAGCGGGAAGGATTATACTTAATACTTAACGTCGATATCTCGCTTAATAGTAATCGAGAAGATAAGAATACCGATACTAAGGACGGCAATTCCGCTACGCCTATAGCTTTACGCGCGCCTCGTATACGCGGTGCCTACTAGTTAAATGCTAAAGCGAGCCGCCGTATAGCAGTCCCGGGGGATCTGCTTAATATATAGAATGCGCCGTATATTTGCAAAGTATAGGACGATAAGCTTAGCGAGGATAAGTGCTTAGACCCGAAGGTATCCGTATTAAGCGAAGTCTACTGCAATCGGTGTAACTATAATATACGGAGTAAACTGCCTATACCGCCGGATAGGTAGAATAGCCTTCCCCGACTAGTACCTAATTCGAGGCCTAGTTTCGTATTTGCGCGGTTAACGGAGTAGTATATTACAGTTCTCGAGAATCGCGTAGTAGGGGAATACAGATTCAGAATGCTATAGAATATACTAATAGATAAGCAGCTTATATATAGCCTTTGTCGGATCTACTAGGATTATTCGAGTATAGACTAGGATGCCTTCGATAGCGATATACTTAGAAGTAAGTTAGATTAGCTAGCAGTTAGGAGAAGGATAAAATATCGGATTAGGTATATACTTAACATATAAGAGTACCGCGATAAGACGATTACTTTCGAAAGCAGCGGAGTAGCCGATTCTAGCGGCGGAGATAGTAACGAATCTAGCGGTATCGAAACCATTACTCTTCTCGATCTCCTCGTCTAGTTTATACGATATATTAAAGAAGATATAGTCTTAAAATAGATAGAGTATAAGGCGGCGTAGGTAGCGAAGGCCGCTACGGCTAAGGTAGCGAGCGCCGCGAAGGAAGCCGAAGATACGTTACTTATAGAGATGCTAGACGACTAGCGCCGAGCGTATCTACGGTCTACGTAAGAGAATAATATAAATGTAGCGGCGTTAGCTATCGCTAGTTAAGGACGCCGAATTTAGTAGAGGAGAGCACCGGAAACCGGTAGTATAACTGATTTACGGAAAATAGCGCTAATAAAGAGTGTACTCGAGGTTAGAGAACAGGCTAGTAGCGGCTCTAATTAATCCTACGGCGGAGATAGTAGCGTACCTACTAGATTTGTAGTAATTAATAGATATCGATCTTTATAAGGGAGTCCTTCGAGTATATAGGATACTACTATATATCTAGTATCGGGCCTAACGGGGTAGTAGCGACTAGAAGTAGCGAGCTTCGACTCTAGGTATATATTAGAGTTCCTACTAGATGCGGACCTAGCCCTCTCCGCTACGGAAGAGCTATTACCTACGAGGGCCGCTAGATCGAAGCGTAGGCGACCTAATATATCTGAATCTGCTTCTAATATAGGAACACTATCGAAAAAACGTCGTCGTAAGGAGCCTTCCGAGCTAAAGATACTAATCTATAAATAGTCCTATTTTAGTAGGGTATACTAATATACTACGTCGCCGTCTAGTCGCCCGCTATAGAATGCGAAGGTCCCGTAACGGGCAAGACAGTATTTTAGGGTATTAGATCTAGCTCTAGCTCTAGTTTTAGAGTAGACCTTTATTTGCTCTAGTATAGAAGACTTAGATCGCGCCTTCTTTAGTCGTCTTATTTCTAGTTATATATAGCTTTATTTCCGCTACGTATAGCCTAACTTCCGCCGTATATGCCTTATTCTACTATTATACGTATAACGTATATAACGCGTTTATTCCGAACTTTACTTTATACGCTATCCGTACGCGTAGTAGCTATATTTAAAAGGACGCTTCTTCGACTTCTTCTCCTTCTCCTTCTTCTATATATATATAGCGATTACTACCTTCTACTACTTTCGACTACTTCTAATTAAGACTTTCTAAACAAGACTATTAAGTCTTACCCGTAGCGGTGCCCTCTTTGTCCGCGTCGACAGATCCGCCTCCCTCTACTACCTCTAAATA